TAAGAGCGAGTGGAATTATACTTGTAGTAGTCTAAATGACTGCTGTTTTCTGTCTCGAATCAATATCGTTTGTCGGATACGATAGTATGTTTTTGAGTTTGAAGATGTCACAGGTAGTCAGAGTTTGGCAACTACTATATATATAACATCTTTATAATCGAAGTTCACCAACCCAGTTAGAGATGAAGGGATGCGAGGAAAATTTAGAAAGCTATCGATATGTCGAGAAGAATTTGGTCTAAGCTAGCAGCTACAGTGGATAGGTGCGGAGGCGCAACCGCTCGCCTTCAGCCAGATGTGTTCAGTAAGATTAATAAGGTCAATATATGTGACGAAAACTTATAGAACTATTTGTTTTGGGATTTATTTGCCGCTTCATCTAACCTCTCTCACCTAGTGATGACTTTATGACGCGGCCACCTCGAATTTTAAGCCCAAGAGCATGTCGTTGGCAAAAAAATTACAACTGCTACGGGTTTATAAACCTAACTGTGTATATCTAACGAATTTGAGTGAAATGTCCGTGCAAATAAGATAAAAATTACGACACCTTAGTTTGGTATACGTGGTTGTCGTATAATCCAGTTTAGTCAATATAATAATAGTACTTGAGGCAAGCGATGAAACATATAATTTTAGCAACGGTAATGGCATGATTCTTGATTCCCTTCATTGTGCTTAGGAGTCGAAATCACAAAACGACTAGCATGAGATTCCGTATTTCTTGGAGGTGTGTTACACGTTCTAATTAAATACAACCAACTATGGGTCAACAATAAAAACCTGTCCTTCTACTGGCAATGATATTTTGTAAGACTGCAGATCTCCTAATATATCTCGCCGTAAATATATTGGGACACATAGATTGGAAGAAACAACAACACAGCGTGAAGCACATGCCATGTCCTGCAGTTTATAATATTTGAACTACTCTTTGACTAATATCCATGAGCACGTTAATAAATCACAGTTGTGTAAATCCCCCTTTGCTTAGAAACATATGATTTGTACATTATATCTAAAAAGCAGGTTAGACGTTCACTTTATTCTCACAAGGACTTCTATTAATAATAAGTTACTTGTTTTAAATTTGGTTAAAAAGATACCAAAGACTTAGGCTTAACATTATCAACGTAAGGATTGTAAGTGGAAACCTGGTGTGAATTTTTGTTGACTATTCCTTTCTGAATGTACTCATTTCTGATTAAATTTTTAGATCCAATGTTATTTTGTAGGAAATACAAAACATTTGAGACTCAACATCTAGTTCACATTCCGTAAGTGACACTTAGAAATATTACATTGCATTTTTTTCATTTCGTGTATATATTACCAATGGAAACACCGTTGCTCCCATAGTCTTCTTATAATTAATTCGACCCATAAGGACGCGTCATGCTAGTTGGTGGATGTACACATGAAATGAGGATCCCTAACGTCTCCGTGTTTAATCTCATTATTTCCTAATGAAATGCCCTACGACATCCTGCGATACCTCGATTACACTGGTGGAATAACGATAACATAAGGGTACCCTATACGGTAAAGTAGAACGGTCTATGCTCTCTTAGCTTCTCTGAACATACGAATATAGTCCCATTAAACATGTTACGACCCCCGTTATTGCTTTCACGGTAAATAAGTATACGTTTACTGAATATAATATAAAGCCTGGTTTTCGAAATTTAAGTCATTCCAATTTGCAGACTAGAACTGAATGCTATTTTTGTCAGTTGGTTAGAATCCACACCGTAGCACATCACTGGAACTTCCATAGCCCAACAAACCATAGATCTGTAAAGGTATTGGATCCTGACCACACTATCCTCAAAGCTGAATAAAGACAAGTGGGAAAACAGATACTCAACATTTAACGCAGAAAAAACCAAACGATGCGAAAAGGCGGGAAGAATGAACTCAACCAACGAAAATGCATGGGATGGCATGGCCAGGTCTTGCAGGCGTGGACATTCTTATTCAACAAAACTTTTATTCACATTAAATATATTGTTTTATCTCCAACTTAAATGTTTTCTCCATCATATATTGGTGATTGTTACGATACGAGTCAGTGTATACAATGATGTGACTTCCACGCAAGATCCTATAAATTAGGCAGTAACATCATGACAATCTTAGGATTAAGTCTGTTATAAAAGTAAACCATAACTCTACAGATCGATGGAAAAACGTTTGACAACTTTACTGACGTAGTGGACGGCAATGGTCTTTCTAAAATCCTCTTCGATATATTTAACAAACTGCTCAGGATCACTACCAGTTTTTTTCGCCAATATGACAACCTATAAATGATCATCACTTAGTTTCCTGAAGCACGCATTGTTTGTCAGTTACTTTTATTTTAAGGGTAACTTTGGACCATTTTAGATAAAGCTATTATTATGTATCAGATGAGATCATACGGAAAACGAAACACGGCTCGACAACCGGTACTCATCGGTCTGTAAAGAAGTGAGCATAATAACAGTCACTCATCATTTTACTCTCTGACTATGGCCCTCCGACTTCCCTTTGTGGTCAAAACAATAAAAATACACAATACATTGGTAGCGGATTTGAGTTTTCATCGTTCAGCTTGTTTTCACGCATGACGTCATGTGTCTAGGTAGTCTAATAATGTTATATGGTATATTTTCAATGAACAAAAAACGGATAGCATCTCCGACTTCGTTCAAGGTTGACAGGTGCACAAGTTTCATAATGCTCTGAAATATATCAAAGGTACCCAAAACAACTGTACACTCAGCATCTGAGAGTTATCAAATATATTGAAAAGAATAACAAACCGGAGATCCTTTCTTGAATGCGGTTGGAAGATTCCAGGAGGCAGCTACGTTTATTTTAGCAAAAAAGATCATTCCTGAGTTTGATATTTACAAAATCATACTCGAAACAATATACACAAACATTTTATCACATACAACACGTTAGAAAGAATACACTGACATGAGTATTAGTAGTAGCAAAAGCCGAGAAAACAAAGCTGGTTCGGAAAGATTAGTGATAGCGCTTAAAGTATTACATAAATGTCGAAGTTTTGATATTTTCGTGTATTTTTCTATTGACGATTTGTACATCTTGTCTTCAACATTACAGAACAGACTCGAAAACCACTTAAGATGAAAACTCCTTCACCTCCCACCTCTCAGCTCATGTCATTCCAGTCCAACAATATCGAGACCTGGTTTTGCTATGCAGAAACTTACTTCCACTAGCACGGCGTGACAGTGCCGTTTGTAAAATTACTTTCAGTGGTATGGAGATCACCATGCGACCTTAATAGTTGCGTTACACCTAGTATGCTAACTAGTGAGGTTTCTGAACCTTACGACACTTTGTGAGAGCCATACATAAACGCGGAGACTTCACCGACCGACAAAATTCGGACCAGCTCTTCCAAACCAGTGAGTTGGAACACGACTCAGCAAGGTTGTTAGTCAATGGACATTTGACGAGAGCCTATTTAAACAGCTCCTTTTGTCTACTCTTCCCCCAACAGGTGCACGCGGTCCTTGTGTCATTTAAAAATATCACTCTAGACGAACAGGCCATATCTGCCAACCGGATTCTGAAAACCATAAGAACATCCAGCACCGAAGTTCGTTCTGTCAAAGGAAGACCTCAAAAATACAAAATGACATCCCAGACCTGTTATACTCTCACTCACCATAGTTGCAGACGAATCCAAACTACACGAAGAACGACATGTTTGTAGACCAGGAGCGACAGATAGACCTGATTAGAAGCACAAGTATAACAGCCTCTTGAGACATTACAGAAAACTCTGTAGTTTCTCAAGCACCAAACAGTCCGACACGAAAAACCATTCAATAAACGTCCTTGCCCGTACGATTTAACGGCAACAGTAGCCGGTCTGAAAGCAGAACTAACGAACCAAAGTTTATTCGGTTTGACTCAACCCGAATATCTGCTGCATCTTTACGCTTTTCTTATTTATTCGACTTCCGATTATACAATCAGATCAACCTGTTAATTAATACTGCAATATCTAGTCAGACATTTACTAGTACGGATTCTTTGTCGTTTCCGCTTCGTGAGAATAATCAGTCTCATGGATATAAACGGCTGTTTATACGTAACCGGTCACAAATATCCAGTAATACACTCATCAACCAAATACCCTAATGGTTAACAGTATGCCCAAAGGAATCTAGCTTGTTGACACTCCCTGTAACACTAGACATACAGCTGACGATTGGTTTTACACCTTGGGTTTACTGAAACCAACAAAAATGAAGCCGAGTAGATCCTAAATATCCGTATCATTATCCACTATTCATGATGAAAATGTTCTCAAACATTGGAAGAGCTGGATTGGTTCGCTAATTCAAACGTCAGTTTTGCCGGCCAATTACATTCCTTTAGACTTTTGTGCACACGCCGACTTACCGACAATTCTGTCCATTTTTCGAACAGCATTGTTTCAAATATCTGGAAATCAGATAAATGTAGATACCATGAGCACCAGGAATAGTGTAATGATCAACTCTAGACATTGTCTATTCATATCGACCCTAGTGGTTGTTTTACTTGTGTTTATCAGAGGTCCAGTCTGAATTTAATAAGAAACGCAATAAAGTTAGGGAATATGTAAACGTCAACGAAGAGCGAATTCAGCACTAAGGCGAAGCAGACATCCAGCGCTTTCTGTTTATCTCAAGTCAGGGTGAAAATCACTTGCATTACTTTATAGTACGCTGCCTATGAAGGATCTGTCACTACGAAGATTTCAGAATTTGTTTTAAACTTCAAGCGAACAAGGCTCATCCTGCGACTCTGGAAAGGAGGCTCTAAAATATCGAACTTTACCAAACTAGTTTGACGTAAATAAAGCACATGAATCACACAAATAGGACTGATGAATATACTCCAGTGAAGAATATCGAGGAACAAAAACAGAGCAGTCTAAAAAGTAACAATCGAAATAACTGCAATATAAATCGTGAATATTCTAGTTTGGGAAAGTAAATTCGTCAGAAAAAAAGGCAGAAAGTAGCATCTAAGTATAACACTAATTTTTTTACTCGACATTATTTCGACCATTTTATATATCCGACGCTAAGACTGTCAGTATCGAAGGTTTCTTATGGATTTAAACACGTCACTAAAATATACTTTTTAGCTGTTCAGTAGGATATTTAGGTCGTCAAATAGAAGGCTTAAATAAATCGTTATCTCAAAAGAAACTGAAGATCATGTAACAGATTGTTCAAAAAATTAGACAGCTATCATTTTCAACATGTACTTCACAAGGGATATGGAATTTAGAGAAAATATCATTTAAAGTATAGAAAATTGTTTCTCTGGATTTTACCGTAAGAAAATTATATCACGTTATTTTCTTGTTTCGAATCTGAAAAATTTTAATGAATACATCCATCAGTTAGTTGCTTTGAATTAAAAACTTTACAGCAGTTTCGAAGTATTTCGATGTTTTTTTGGTGGAAAGATGACGTGCTTTGTCAAAGTAGACACAAACGATGGCATTTGCTTCTTACCGCAGAATGAGGGATTGGCTGCAGTTGACTCGTATTCAAAAGCAACCTCATAGTTCACACGTGTCATGATACTCAACAAATCTAAAGTATTTCCATACCGAAGCAAGACATCAGATAAGGCTCGTATGAACCAAGAACCGTTGACGGAGTTACGAAATGCGTAATAACCTTAGATGAAAAAAAACAGCTAGGTTTAAAGAATTTAATAACTAGATGAAATCCTAATTTATAATCAAAAGACAATATATACTGTTATTTAGACTAAGAGTTTAGTAATGATTCAATAAATTATAGAGAATGATTTGAATCAAGAAACTTATAAACAATTAAAGTGACTGATGTAGATGCCGTCACCGAAACAAACATTCATGATCAAAAAAAGTCCTCAGACAAGAAGTTATAGCTCAGATGGGTGATTTAGGCGGAGTTTCGTTCTCTGAACTGGATGGTTTAGTCACGAAGCCTTCATTGTTCTTCTGAACAATATCATCAGCATGTCGTGACATGTTGCAGGTCAACAATAACCAGTCAAGTTTGAGGTCTACAGGACAAGCTGTGAGTCATATGTGGAGAAATTCGAACACTTCACCTCTACCTGACGTTTGTGCTGATGATATTTTTCAGAGGAACAATGAAAGTTCCTCGACCAAACCATCCAGCTCAGCGTTTATTATGTCGATGAAGTCACGATTTTGAAACAGTGCAACCAATAATGACTTTTTTACACTTTTCTCTTGGGAACTTAATTTGTTCCCTGCGCCAATTTAATTATAAACAATTGAAGCCGAAAATATCAAGTATCATGTGACCGCTTTATAATTGAGTACAGTTCTCCCGTTATAAAATGCGAAGAATAATAATTCATAATTTTATTCATTTATATTTGACTACGAACAAACATAAAATAGATTGCAGTAACAATGGTGAATATAAACATGACACTTTTGCTGATGAAACGTTTACTGAGTTACACTTTAACTGGGTATAATTGAAAATCATTTAGAATCAAATCTTATCGCACAAATAATCTCATCAAATGACTTAATCAGACAAATCAGATTGGGTTATACTGATTTTTAATTAGACTTATCGACCTAACTCCTATTTATCAATTACCACTGAACGGCAATATAACAAGGATGATGATTTGTACCATGTATCGAAAATATTGTAAAATTCTGGGATTAAGAGGGAAAGATAGTGAACAAAACGATGATTTAACAGTTATGTTCTACCTTCAACCACTTAGTAGCCGGTTCGAGTCCGACTTTACCTACCTTGATCTAGGTAGCTGTGTAGTACCACTAGCCTTCATTTATAACGTGTCGCTCAAAGGCAAGTACATGAAGTTACATTGTTAAGTGGCATAATCGACTCAGTGTTAGTAGGTCGTAGGTTAGAATCCTACTCAATCTGCTTTAGTGTAGATAATCGAGTAGCATCGCCATACTTCATACAAACAGTACAGAAAGAAGTTTGGTAAACAAACATACTCTTATTTAATGACTTACATTTATCTGAATTGAAATTAATTACAAAAAAGATGGAAAACAAACCATGAATGTAAACAGATATTTATATCCGCAGTCATGCCCAGTAAATAACACCACATGAAACAAGAAAAAAGTAACTTAAAGTTATACTACAATGTTAAGGTTCTACTCTCACATTAATATTATTGTTTCTGCGAAGTTTGCGTCCAAAAATTAACAATTACATCCTCCTTATTAGTGAATACAAGAATCAGAAGTATTAGCTATTATCTGACTCATCTTTTAACATACAGACTCCCTTATTTATTTACCAAAAGGGTAACGATTTGAAGTGAATAATATGAAACCACTCCATTTCATCAGGTTCTTAACAGCTGCTTAGATCCTGTAATATTTGAAAGTAAAATTGCAAATAGGACCTAACATTCTTATAGAAGCGAAGTCGATTACAACTTCATGTAAACACATCTTAGTATGGTGTCACAAAAATCCAAATACCAATAACAAGATGCTGCAAATAAATATGATATCTAAAGATGGTCCTGGAACAGTGATTAAGGTATCAACGAAGGATCACTGGGTTGATATCCAGTGGTGATGTAACGAAACAATCGTATAAAAGTTACAGATAATTAGTAACAACATGACTCAGGCTCAACTAGTTAAAAATAAAGAACTGAAAAAGAATTGAAGTGATTCAGTTAAATAGGGGTTGCATTATCACGTATACTGAGTGTTATTTCCCATTTCAGGCTATCATTTTCTGTAAAACCGAATAGAGAGAGAATGTATTATTCATAGATTATTGTTCATTTTAATCCAGTCAGCATACATACACACAACAGAATCGATATGAAAAGTAAAAGATACAATATCACACTATATATCACAATACCAATAGTCCTTCTTACAGAACTTTTGAAAATCATTGAACGTGATTCGATTCCCCTACTTGACTCTAACGATGACAATACATCAGTAAAAATAAGTTGCACAACTGATTGATCACTGAGCAATGACCAAGGGTTCGGATCCCATATGAAGTACCAGTTCCCTTAAGATTTCAGGTACACCTTGTTGGTGAATGAAAATTGAGAGAAACCTAGATCCAGGTCTTTCTGCCAACCACCTAAGGCCAATTATGTTATTGTCTGCTGCATCACTAGGATGTCACGCCTAGTGGGTGGGGATGAAAGGGACTATTGTACTGTTTAATAGGTGAAGAACAAATTAATTCTGTCAAACTATGAATGATAAATGAAAATAAGAAAATCGATATATCATGGTGTTCTATATGGGGGAAGTAAATTCGTTTGAACAACTAGCTTTTTATTTCCTAAGCCTTATTTTTAGAAAAAAGACCGCCCATTTTGTCAAAATATTAGGAAATTTTTTATTCGATAAATAATCTAGTAAATAATACTGTTTCTGTGTTCTAATTAGACAGTTTAATTGTAGAGTACTAACTATCGTTTTAGACAATATGGTCAGTGTCCATTTGATGTAGAAGTGTGCTTTTCAGTAGTAATACAGGCATTAAATCAGTTTAATGAAAAATTAGGAAAGACTGCATTACTTCCTGTCATAATAAACAGAACAAGCCCAGGGACGTTAGAAATAAAATTATTTAGGGAAGCAAATAATATTGATGACAAATCACAACATCTGGGGTCTGAAATCACACAAGGAAATTTGTGCACCAACACCATTTAGGAGAGCCAGAAGTCACTCCAACAATCACGTTATATAAAAAAACTTAGGAAATCCACCTTTTGTTAGTATGTCGTAAAATTGATTACTCTTACAACTTCCTCAACAGGTTCTATTCAGGTTGATTGCTAAAGCGGATCGTTTAACAATATATGGAAAAAATAATCATAAGGCTTTTGCAATCCCTGGGAATCAATGTCACTCAAAATCCCAAAACAACATTCTATCACGAGTAGTGCAGATGGGAAAAACCAATACCAAAGGAAAAAAAAGTTACATGGTCAACAAAATAGACTGTACCAAATACCTGAAGCACTATATTGAACAAAGTGCGCACCGACTTCGCCCACACATAAACGAAAACACTAGAAGTGAGACGATATAGTGTCAACACTGGTATTAGTGTACACAAGTGATTACGGAAATTTTTTGAATTAGTCAACCGTCCAAATCCTAAGAATTCCCGAGAGGTTTTAGAGACAAGAGATTCAGATCAATGGGCAATTCGTAAACATATAAACACAAATCCAATCTATAAATCCACCAAAAAAGGTTAATCAATCACATAGTCATGAACCAACTAAACAGAAAAGTTAGCGTGAATGTAAGGTCAAACAAAGACAGCAAAAAAACTGGGGAGAGACGATTACAAACAAGGTTATTAAAATGAACTGAATCGATGCTTGAGGCAGGACTGAAAATAACGACAGAGCCTAGAGCTATCACGCCAGTAGGACAAAAAATCTATTTGATCTATTATGATAAGCAGTTTAAATAGATTTGCTATGGAAATTTTTTTAGCATATACAACGAACATGATATTGTAATTTCATTACCATGTCACGCCTGCATGGGTTATTCTACCTTACGGACAGACTGATTTATCAGTTCTTCTTGAGTCATATTTTGACCTTGTCAATCATTCGCTTACCTTGACTGTGTTTTGTATGTGCCTATATGTGTGTCGTTTACCTTATTCATCACATGTCTCTAGTTTATTTTTGTCCGGCTATAAATATCGAGTCATACTTGATCTCCTGTCTGTTTCTCCGCTTCGATTTTTATCCTGATTGTCTGTTTGAATCAACGGGTGTATAAAATATACGTACCCAAAAGTCATCCTCGTATTCAGCTTATTCCGTTATTCAGTAACGCGGATTAAGTCAATACTTATGTATCAGGGTAGCCAGGATGCATGTTTCGTTAACATCATTATAAGGTCGAACCGCAGTCAGATCAGTGGATCACAAAAATATTAATACATTTTAATCTTCATTATCTTACCAATTTCTGTACAGATTGTCTAAAATCCTCAGAAGAATCATTTATATTCTGCTTTTAGCAATTAAGCACATAGCTGAGAGAAAAGCTTTACCGATATACGTGTGAGTCAGTCAGCTACAACGTAGGACCAGGTACATAAATGCATCGGTCCAAGTTGCCACAGTTCATTAGCACAAGATGAACACCGAATTCATAGAAGTCGTTACTTCGATGGTAGTAATATATAAAAGGAAGATTGTGTGACGAATAAAAATATTACCTAGCTAACCAAGCAGACACAAGTGGATTGATATTCTATTCGGAATTTAAAAGTTTTGTCCCTATATTACTTAACCTTGGCCTCAATTCCACTGCACAACATCGGAAAGATTAACCAACAGAAAATAACATAGATCAGTATAAACCTGAAAAATACCTGGTTGGACTGAATAGGCGATGAAAAGATCTGCCTCAACTGGAATCCGTCTTGTTGTTGTCGCAGCATCCGCAGATTTACTATTAGATAAAGGTCCATCACAAACAAATACGCCGTCATCAAGTGCCATTCCACGGCATGCCTAATAAGATAAACAAATAACTAGATTTAAACATCATCCAAGTAGTGAATTACACTGACTAAAAGGAACTAAAGACCGAAAAAGTGGTAATTGTAGCTAATAATTAGTCAAACCCAATGCAGAATACGGGAAAGTTATATCTATCTCAGCAAATTGATAGGAAGTTAACACAATGAAAGGAAAAAAAATGGAAAAAATGACACAATGGTGGAAAGTTTGACATAGAAAATATAGTTCAAAAGAAACGAATAAAATCATAGAATGGTACCACTGCAACCAATTTTGAGGTATAAAATTAACGATAGGTGGTAATAATACCACATTACCTGCACAGCTCGGACCACTAGTCTATTTCTTGTTTACTAACTTAAGACGACAGATATTACTTATCGTATCGAGACACTAACTTTGAAGCTCAGACTGGAAACAAACATTTATTAGAATCCGGAATCGGCTAATATTTTTAACATACGATGAACTTCTTGAATTCATAATTAAAAACCAATAACTAGTGCAAATAATTAATTGATAGTCACATCTGAGCAACTCTATCAAAAGAAGTCAACCAGTTTGTTTATTTATTTGAAAACATAAACATTGATACAAGGGAGTACCAAACACATATGCACCACACAATAACAATGGGTTGTGAAGAGATAATGTAAAGTGTGTATAATAAGAGAACAAGAACGAAAATAAATCAGTGTGAGTTGAATAATAAAAATAATAATAATAAAGAGATAGTTCAGTTAGTAAAAATATATCCAGGAAGAATCCTTTCAATTAAAGTAGTTACGTTCATTTTTTATGAAGAAAGTAAAAGAGAATTACCGAACGATCGTCACTGGCTTCTATTCTGAGCCATTTCGATTTGGTATAGAATTAAAAACGAAGAACATTTTATTCCAAAGAAGATTACAGGGTACAGCTACTATTAAAGTTTAGAGAAAGATTAGAAACAATAAGCCAGGCTGTTAGCGGGACATAGATTGGATTAAAGCATGCTTAATGCACGATTGCTTTGGTGCACGTTGATTGGCTAATTCTTATCCACTGAGCGCTACTCGATACTTGGAGAACACTCTAGAAATCTTCTCATGTAAAAATTATAAATATACTAACGTTTTTCCTATTGTACTTCTTGCTTCCATCTAACCTTGTTATTTGGAATATAATCTCTTTCCTATTCAACCGTGTTCTGATTTGGGGATTTGTCGAGTGAATTGGTGTCCGAGGATACTAAGCAATAGGAATAGCTGGGTTGTAATAAGAGAGAAATATAACACAGGCAAATACAGAAACAACCAGAACATCTCTGAATGGAAACCAAAGTTGGAAGAATTTAAAACGAAATAATGTACTTCTTGTACAAAGATAAACTAAAGCAGAATGAGAAAAGTATTAGTTGTGTCCGAACTAACAGACTGGATTTGGTCTAGTTCTCTGATACTTGATTTAATAAGAGATTATTATTAACTATATTACAATTTACTTTCAATCATCGACCAGTGGGCTCGACTGTCAGCTACATAACGAACAGATATCTGTCCCCAATTTACTGAAGAAAAAACATAATAATGTCTTCAAATCTATCGGAAATGAATAGGTGTTTGCTGGTTATTTATTGACATTGTATGTACAAATGACTTAAAACGTTACTATGATCTCAAAAAAAACGCGTAGTTCTTACCTATAACAGACATGAACATGAAATGCAGCAATATCTCTTAACTGAAAGGTGATAAATTCTACCTAACAAAATTCTTTTTTAACAGGCTTACTTTAATTGATCCGGGAGAGCCTTCCAAATTGCTGCAGAAATGAGGAGATACAATCTAAAGGTGCTTGGGATCAGTGAAACACATTGGACGCAAGTTGGACAACAACGACTAACTACAGGAGAGCTCCTGTTATACTCCGGCCATGAAGAAGAAAATGCTCCACATACACAAGGAGTTGCATTGATGCTGTCCAAAGAAGCACAAAATGCACTTATAGGATGGGAATCTCATGGACCAAGGATCATCAAAGCCTCCTTCAAAACAAAGAAAGAGGGCATTTCAATGAACATCATCCAATGCTATGCGCCTACCAACGACTACGATGAAGACGCTAAAGATCAATTCTACGATAGGCTGCAATCAATCATCGAGAAGTGCCCAACAAAGGACCTGACCATTCTGATGGGAGATTTCAATGCCAAGGTTGGAACGGACAACACTGGATATGAAGACATCATGGGACGACACGGACTGGGAGAAAGGAACGAAAATGGTGAGAGATTTGCAAATATATGTGCCTTCAATAAACTGGTCATAGGCGGCACCATATTCCCACATAAACGCATACACAAAACCACATGGACTTCCCTGGACCACACTACACAAAATCAAATCGACCATATCTGCATCAACAAAAAGTTCAGGAGGACGATGGAAGACATAAGAACCAAGAGAAGAGCCGATACAGCATCAGACCATCACTTGCTGGTCGCCAAGATGAAATTGAAACTCAAGAAACACTGGACAACGGGGCGGAAAATATCACAAAAGTTCAATACGGCCTTTCTTCGGGATACTGACAAACTCAACAAATTCAGGATAGTCCTCAGCAATAAGTTCTAGGCCTTTCATGATCTACTAAATGGAGAAGGAACTACTATGGGGAGCAACTGGAAGGGGATCAAAGAGGCAATCACTTCAACATGCCATGAGGTCCTGGGCCACAAGAAGCACCATCACAAGGAATGGATCACTGTTGATACACTGGATAAGATTTAAGAAAGGAGGAACAAGAAAGCAGCAATCAATACCAGACGAACAAGAGCAGAGAAAACCAAGGCACAAGCTGAATACACAGAAGTAAACAAGCAAGTGAAGAGGAGCATCAGAACTGACAAACGTTAATACGTGGAAGATTTAGCAACGACAGCTAAAGCCGAAACAAACGTCCTGGAAGGAAATATGGAAGTAATTATGGTTTAGAGCTTCAAAATGATCGAAGAACGAGGAATTTTCGCAGTTCAGAGAACTGCAACTAAGAAGGTACCCGAAATCGTAAGCCAGCCTTACGACGAGAGACTGGAATAACTAAATCTATTTCCTTTGTAATACAGGAATACTAGAAATGACTTGGTCACAGTTTAAAATCACTTGATCAGAAATTTGCTTTTTATATGCCTTCACCTTATCTTTCGAAATAAAGAATTTGAGAGGACACTTCAGAACACTGTGTAGTATGTTTTAGCAAGGGTGAAATATGTCAGTTATAATGTTGGCCTACTTGGGAACCCACCTACTGATCATTGAGGAACAATCAATTGAATGGAATTCATCACTCTACATCAACTTCATTGACTACGAAAGAGCATTTGACAGCGTGGACAGAACAACACTATGGAAACTTCTTCGACACTACGGCGTGCCTCAGAAGATAGTCAATATCATACAGAACTCATATGATGGATTACACTGCAAAATCGTGCATGGAGGACAGTTGACAAAGTCGTTCGAGGTAAAGACCGGTGTCAGGTAGGGTTGCTTACTCTCACCCTTTCTCTTTCTCCTGGTGATCGACTGGATCATGAAGACGTCAACATCTGAAGGGCAACACGGGATACAGTGGACATCTAGGATGCAGTTAGACGATCTAGACTTCGCAGATGATCTGGCCCTTCTATCCCAAACGCAACAACAAATGCAGGGGAAGACGACCAGTGTAGTAGCAGCCTCAGCAGCAGTAGGTCTCAACATACACAAACGGAAAAGCAAAATTCTCCGATACAACACAACATGCAACAACCGAGTCACACTTGACGGAGAAGATTTGGAAGATGTAAAAACCTTTACATATTTGGGCAGCATCATCGATTAACACGGTGGATCTGATGCAGATGTGAAGGCGCGGATCGGCAAAGCAAGAACAGCATATTTACAACTTGGAAACATCTGGGACTCAAAGCAACTGTCGGCCACCACCAAGGTCAGGATTTTCAATACAAATGCCAAGACAGTTCTACTGTATGGGGCGGAAGCCTGGAGAACTACTAAAGCCATCATCCAGACGATACAGGTGTTTATTAACAGTTGTCTACTCAAAATACTTCGGATCCGTTGGCCGGACACTATTAGCAGTAACCTACTCTGGGAGAGAACAAACCAGATCCCAGCGGAGGAAGAAATCAGGAAGAAGCGCTGGAAGTGGATAGGATACACATTGAGGAAAGCACCCAACTGGATCACAAGACAAGCCCTCACACGGAATCCTGAAGGCCAAAGGAAAAGAGGAAGACCAAAGAACACACTACGCCGGGAAATGGAAATAGACATGAGAAAAATGAACAAGAATTGGATGGAACTAGAAAAGAAGGCCCAGGACAGAGTGGGTTGGAGAATGCTGGTCTGCGGCCTATGCTCCATTAGGAGTAACAGGCGTAAGTAAGTAAGTAAGTACTTTTATTGATAGGAAGATACCGAAATAGAAGAAAAACACATGATATACCTGTTGTGATGGTGAAACTATTGGTTACTTAGTGACCATCTTCATTCTTTGTTAATCGTTAATCAGATAAGCAACTCTGCTATTTGTTGGATATAAATCATAGCTCTCACTGTCTAAGATAGTCAATCAGTTTCTTTGATAATTTGTCCTCTTATGTGTATTCAATTGGAATTTGGCGGTTCGTTTAGCTATCAACAATACGACACTCGTATCTATGATGGCTAATTTAGTGCTTTGACTTAGTAAACACTCAGGAACTACATAATCAACTGACTAGCTTTGGTTTGAACATCCTGATAGCTTTAGTAAATATAAGACAATAGGAAGATTTAAACAACTAATACAAAACTGAATTTAATTCCACCCCATTGCACAAGCCAGTGGCTATCTGGACTCAGTAGCTAGGTGAATAACGCGATGGCTTTTGAAGCGAATGGTATTGGGCTTAAGTCCTGGAGTGTGAGCATCAACTCTGGGATACAGGTACATCCAGCTGACGAGTCCAAATACGACGAAACACATGTTCAGGATTCCACTGCTAGCCACCAAATGTCTCTGCTTATAATGTCTGTGACTTAATGCAATATCGAGGCAATCCGCATAGGACGCATATATGCTAAGAGACCGGTCAATTGCGGTCCTAAACATAAATTGAAAGATTCAAACGACAAGCACAAAAATGAATGAAACAAGTGTGGTTCAAAACTTACTAAACACACTTGTACTTGGTTATTGTGTCATAAAATAATAGATATGTACAACATCCTTTACAAAAGTCAGAATAGATTAAAGAATTGGTACGGTCAGCATAATATTCAACTGTAAAGTGAGAAAAAGTTCTACTCCTTTTAAACTACTGTAGTATTCTCACACGTATATATGGTTCAACACAACTTGTTCGGAGAACTAACCAATATTTTCTCTAAAACCCCCTAATTGTTTTCTAAAACCGTTACACATTAGTGTTCAGAAACTAGATTTACATAATTAAAAAGGACATACTTGGATAAAGAATAGTTTTGGCTTGCCTCTTAAATCCAAACATTGATCCCCACGAAATGGAGCGATGATACGATCCACGGGAATAGAACCATCTGTTGCGTATATTAATCCACCCTCATCACCATGAGAAAGAATTACACAAGCGAAACAATCATGGTCGCGTAGATTTTGTGTTGAGACTGGAATTACACAATTTTAATGAATATGTGCATACATAAGTCATGGATAAAAGTGTAACAGTTAATAACCTTTACTATTTTAAAATATGAGTTTACTTGTAGTAGTAAAAGCTTGATTGAGTAAAATGAAAAGTGTTTTTCATTTGTTTTGCGAAACGTATATATACTTTAGTAATCAGACGTGTTCTTATTGATATCAATGGACTTCGTGTGATGTTAAAAACTGTTACTTTATACTAAGGTTTGTATGTCACAGTAAATGAAAAGCATCACTGTTTAAACCGAAATCTTCTAACTTGATGCTAACAGCTTTATTAATGTCATGGTAAACTGAAATCTGTAGTATTACATAAAAAAGAACATCTAACCGGTGTATATTCACCATACTATAATACACGGTATAGGGAAATTGGCAGAGAATGAGAAAAAGATTATAGTCGCCGAACAAAATGTGACTTACAGGGTGAAAATAAATTTTGTTTTCATATAATTATTTTCTATGTGAACACAAATATTGGTACAAAGATGCACCGAATACATACGCGCCACACAAGTCACTGCCCCTAAATGCCCTGGTAAGGCCGAGAGCGGGGTGGGCCCGCATTCCCTCTCGAAATGCTCTCACACGGTCACGCGTATACAGCCGTTGCCAGGGAAGTCCTACTCACTGCCTTCTCGTGGCGGGGGTGTTGTTTACGAAAATGAGAGGACGAAGAGCGAAGGTCCGGCGCTTTAACCGGGTCCCAAACCACTGGTGTACATGGGCTCCAGTATCCTGAGGGAACAAATGGCGTATGAACCAATCGTTGGTCAGCGGCTACCATGGGACTGCACCTCCTCACGATGCTCCACTGTCTTGTGGGTCAGACCTTTAGGTCAAAGGCTCGGGGTGTAGCCCCCTAAGATACCCACCTGCTTCGGTCTGGTCACTCGGGCAGTATCACAGCACACACACAAATGATGAACAGTCTATACTTATGGAAACTACTTTTCTTGCTTCGACTAACAATCGAATGATTCAAATTATCATTATTATTACTATTATTGATATTATTATTACTAATTATTATTATTTACTACGTCATTTATTCACTCTCTTTTATTCCCACTCTGTGTATACTTATTTTTCGACTTATACAGCAGCTCGTCTATGGTGGAAATTCGACTCTATCTAAACGTTCTCGAGTCACTGTCCGGTTGAAAATTGTATGTTACCACCGAATATGAGTACTGAAGCAGTTTTTCTGAAACCACGTGCACCATTCAAACTGGCTGCCTTCAACGTTCGCACACTTATGCAGGCCGGACAATAGATAGGGCTGGCTATGTCCTTGGAAAGTCTTAATATCGATGTTTGTTGTCTATCCGAGACCCGTATTCAAGACTTTGGTGAAGTACTACAAATCCGCTCTCCGTCTGTCGCTTCAAAAAGCTTGTTTTATGTGCGTTTATCCGGGGACCCTGTGGCATCTTCGGCTGGTCTTGCTGGCGTTGGTGTCGCACTAAGCGCTAGAGCTGAGGCAGCACTAATCGATTGGATCCCCATTAACAGTCGGTTATGTGCTGTTAGATTAGAAAGTCCCATCAAAGTGAGAAATCGGCGTGAGAAACGATGTATTTTCGTCATCTCCGCCTATGCCCCGACAGATTGCAGCCCGGATGCAGTCAAGGATGAATTCTATCACCAATTATCTGTTCTTCTCCAGAAAGTGCGTTCGACAGATATTGTAGTACTAGCCGGAGACTTGAATGCTCAGGTCGGGCGTCTAGGCACAGAAGAGAGTCGTTTAGGTGACCGATGGGGACTTGTTGGTCGCAGGACAGATAACGGGGACCGTTTACTGCAACTTTGCACAGACCACAACCTGTTTCTGGCTAGCACTAACTTTCGGCACAGTCATCGCCGATGTGCCACCTGGCGTCCTCCCTCTGCATCTCAAGCCTGGACTCAGATTGATCACATCGCGATCAGCTACCACTGGCGTGGTTGTGTACAAGACTACCGCTCCTTTTGGAGTACCTATCTGGGCTCTGACCATGCCCTGGTCTGCGCCAATCTTACCTTACTTTTCAGTGGACAACGAAGTGACCGCCACCAACGGATTGATGTTAGCAAGTTGGTTGCAACTTCTGTTGCAAGTAAGAATCAAACCGAGCTAGCTTCTAGGCTAGCTACCATTCCACCGAAAAGTATAGATGAGAATTGGTTGTAATTGCATGACGCCATGAAAATGGCGGGTACAGTAAGTTGTGGGTTTGCGAAACGTCCCGCTTATAAGCACTGGGTTTCTTCAGGCTCCTTACAACTCATTGAAGCCCGTCGGTCTACTCCGGATGACCGTGAGTTTGACCACAAACGAAGGATGTTACTTAAGTTATGTGAACAGGGGAACAAGAAGCCCCGACAAACTACGAAAGCTATTTTTCGGGACGTTATTTCATTTTATTCAAAGCTTGTAAAACACTGACATTTATTTTTGTCCCTATTTTATTCTACAGAACATGAGCTTTCGTTCGATGTATCGTTCATTGCCATACCCCTTTTTGTTCCGAAGCTATTGTAATTTAAACATAATATTTTGCACCTTATTTCCTACTCTAATTCCCAGTTTTGGATATAATTGTATTTTCCCAAATTATTGCACGTTGTGGTCGGGTAAATCACCTATTTATTCATGTACCTTTTTGCACTAATCTGAATTCAGAGATTTCACAGGAAATCAATATATCGGAATAGAGTGAATAGTGTTCCAGTTGTCTTGTCTTCTCTCATTACCGTGCTTGTCAGCCAATCAGGTGGTAGAATAGTTTTCTTCTCTCTACCCCGCCTCAAACTCAAGCGCACTAGCCTCAAGGTTAAACCGATCAGCCCATTGCGTCAAGGTCTTAATGTAGAGTAGACAGATCAAGGTCATAACAGTAAGGAAATCGAGGAAAGCTTGCGTAAGGACCAAGAAGATGGTGGTGACTTTCTGACTAAGGAACTGACGACGTTGTTTACAAAGGTCTGGGAACTAAAGAGTGTACCAACGTCATGGAATGAGTCGATAGTTGTCCCTATCTTTAAAAAGGGTTCACGTCGTTCCTTTAATAACTATCGGGGATAAGTCTACTACGATCCGTTGGACAGGACTGTTCTCTGGGATTGTCTATTGAAGAACGGTGTGCCTGAGAAGTTTATTAACATCCTAAAGGCCCTATGTACAAACACCTCAGGCAGAGTGAGGGCATACAACCACCTCTCTCCATTGTTCCATTCAAGCAATGGGGTTAGACAGGGTTGCCCAATCTCACCATTCCTCTTCAACTTTGCTTTCAACGACGTCCTGGAAACAGCTCTGATGGATCTAAGTAATGGCGGTGTGGACCTGTTGCCTGGAGAAAGACTTCTTGACCTTGAGTATGCGGATGATATTGTCTTACTGTGCGGTAATGCCCAAGCCATGCAATCCGCACTTAATCAGTTGGCAATCAATGTCCATAGGTATGGTATGTGCTTTGCACCTTCGAGATGCAAAGTACTTCTACAAGACTCGCAAGATCCTAATCCTGTACTCACTCTGGATGGCGAGCAGATAGAAGTAGTCGAGAAGTTCGTGTATCTAGGTAGCTGCATAAGTGCTGGTGGTTGCGTAAGTGATGAGATCAATGCACGTATAGTGAAAGCCAGAGCGGGTTATGCCAATCTGGGCCATCTTTGGCGCCTTCGTGATGTTAGTCTGGCTGTAAAAGTTCAGATCTACAACGCGTCGGTGAGAGCAGTTTTGCTCTATGCTTGTGAAACCTGGCCTCTCTGAGTTGAGGATGTTAGATGACTCTCTGTGTTTGATCATCACTGTCTCCGAAGGATTGCTGACATCCAGTGACAACACCATGTTAGTAATGTAGAGGTTCGGGATCGTGTGTTCGGGCGCAGAGACGTTATCAGATATGGCTCAGAATATAAGCCAGTGGCGATCTTGCTGTAACCTTCTTTGATTTTCTTCATAAAAAAGTGGTTGTATCTTTCTAAACTGAAAGATTTCTTCTGGTTGTACCTTTCCGTCTCCCCCATTATTATTACACTACCTGACACTAACCTGGTCGTTATTCTTCTTCTTCCTTTTTTTCTTTTACGCTCCTTACCATCCTTTTTTCTCTTCCCATTGTGATTGTTTTGTGTGGCGCATATATATTTGGTGACTCCTTGTACCAATATTTATGTTTTCAAATAAATAAACATAAGTCACTTGATTTGTGTGGGCTATGATACTGCACGGGTGACCAAACTGAAGCAGATCGTTTTCTTAGGGGGCCACACCCGGAGCCTTTAACCTAAAGGTCTGATCTACAAGGTAGTGGAGCAACGTCAGGAGATGCCGGTAACTAACAATTGGTTCATATGCCATTTGTTTCTTCAGGATTTTGGAGGCCATGTAGACCATCGGTTTGGAATCAGGGTTTTCCAACTCTTCTAGATGGACTCTCCATGGCCACCAACCGATTAAAGCACCGGACATTCGCTTTTCCTCCTCTCAATTTCGTAAACAATAGTAATGCCGCAAGAAACCAGCGAGTAAGGCTTCCCTGGCAGTGGCTATATACGCGTGGCCATGCGTGAGCATTAGCGGAGCAGTCTGTATTTTGATATAACTGATATAGTGAAATTGTTGTAAGGATACTCATATATATATATATATATATATATATATATATATATATATATATATATATATATATATATATACCCGATCGAAGCTGCTACCTTGACGCGGTGGTCGGGCTTGCCTATCGTGATGACCCAACCGAGCTATATTGGCTGGAACATATGTTCCTGCAGGTTCTACCATGCCAGGCAGGTCGATTGGTGAACGGTAAGACTAAAAGCAGCAACTCAAGGTCTGAGGGCGAAGTCGTACTGCTGACTGTAGAGGGGTGTGACAGCAGTAAGGTGTTTCCCTCGGACAACCAGCATGACAGCGATGCTGCCTTCCCACAAGGAGGGGTGGGGTTAGAAAAGGTCGACCCTAAAAATGTCACACCTCACCTTACCTCACGGATTTCCGTCTCCGGCGGTAAGGCCCTTTGAAGAACGAAGCTAACACGTCAAAAACCTTCCACAAAAAGGCCGTGCGCGACCGGCCTCAAGCAGTTGTCCCTTGGGCTCTGCGGTCACGCTCCCAGGTCGTCAAGACCAACACTAATCCAATTTCCTTTTCAGGTTCCTCAAGAAATACCCTTCCACGGTGTGGGCAGCCGGGAAGTGATATCAGCCCTCATACCCGTAACAGTACAAGAGACCAAGGTGGTCACATTCAAATCCTTCCTATACCTTCTAATACCTCTCTTATCTCCCCGACTAACCCTCCTCACGTCTCTTTATCACCTCGCACCGCTAGGGCAAACGATTCGAGTACGTGGAACGCCATTCCTGGTCTCCTGAAACCACGCTCTAAACTACACGTAGGAGCTTTTAACGTACGAACACTTTGCCAAATAGGACAGCAGGCTTCCTTAGCTAAAACTTTAGAATCTCGCGCCATCGATGTGTGCTGCGTCTCCGAAACGCGCATACAGGATCCAAGTAGCGTCATTCATTTGACCTCACCATGCCAAAATAAAGAACCGACTCGATTTACGCTTCGTGTATCTGGAAACCCTGATGCTGCTTTACGTGGCCTCGCCGGCGTAGGTATAGCATTGAGTCCTAGGGCAGAACTAGCTCTCTTAGAGTGGATCCCAGTAGACAATCGTTTGTGTGCTGTCCGACTGAACGGAACAGTAAGAATCCGGAAAGATAGGGACACTTGTCGTTGCCTCTTCGTCGTCTCTGCCTATTCTCCCACTGACTGCAGCTCAGATGATGTAAAAGATGAGTTTTACAGAAAGCTTTCCGACCTTCTCCGAAAAGCTAGGCGCTCGGATGTAGTAATAGTGGCCGGTGACTTTAATGCTCAAGTAGGTAAACTAAGCGATAGGGAAAGACACCTAGGTGGATCTTATGGTGTCGTGGCTCAGAGAACAGATAATGGCGACCGTCTGTTGCAGCTATGCTCAGATAACCGCCTGTTCTTTGCAAATGCTAACTTTAAACATAAGGAAAAACATCTTTTAACATGGAGACCCCCTAATTCGTCCCAACGTTGGACCCAAATAGATCACATTGCTATCAGCCACCGATGGAGGGGCTCGATAGAAGACTGTCGCTCATTCTGGAGCACATGCCTAGATTCAGATCATGCTCTAGTGCGAGCGCGTATTTGCTTGCGTCTTACTGGACGTAGGAAAGATGCTGCAAGGAAACCTCTTAGGGGCCTACTTAATGATAGTCAAGCTAAGAGTATATTTCAGGAACAACTAGGAAAACAGTTAGGCAGCCATGTATGTGATGCCCACCCTGAGGCAGCATGGAATGATATCCGAAAAGCTGTGGAAACAGCAGTGATATCTGCTAGTAAGGTAAACCAGAAGGTTAGGGAGCAACACTGGATCTCAGCAGCATCTATCTCACTGATAGATGCTCGGAAACTCATTCCACCTGGCTCTGAACATAATGAAGAGCGGAGTCAGCTTAAGCGCAAGCTGACAAGAAGTCTACGCAATGATCGCGAACAGTGATGGGTAGCGAAAGCAAGAGAGATGGAAAAGGCAGCGGCAATAGGTAATAGCAGACAATTGTTCAGACTCATTAAGGAAACCGGAATTAGGAACCCGACCGTTAGCGAAACAATCTCAGAGAAAGATGGACATATTATTCATTCTCAATCCAGGAGATTGGATCGATGGGCAGAACACTTTAGGGATCAGTTCAACTGGCCTTCAGCCACACTTCGGTTTCCCACGATCTCTAGTCAACCTGAATGGCAAGTTAATGTAGGTCCTCCGTCCCTTTACGAAGTTGAAAAAGCGAGGGAGAGCAGCAGGCCCTGACAGGTTTACTCCTGAGATTTTTAAGGATGGTGGTCCAGTATTAGCAATGAGACTAACCGAGGTCTTAGGTAGAATTTGGGAACTGGACGTAATCCCATCTGACTGGTCTCAATCACTGATTGTCCCAGTCTATAAGAAAGGACAAAAGTCCTCTTGTGACAATCACAGAGGAATCAGTTTGACTAATATAGTGTCTAAAATATTAGCTTCAATAATACTTCGACGCCTAATCAAAGCTCGTGAAGAGCAGATTAGAGAAAACCAGGCCGGTTTTCGACCTGGACGTGGTTGTATAGATCAGATATTCACATTACGTCAGGTTCTAAAACACAGACACACATTCAGACGCCCCACAATCGTAGTATTTCTCGACCTTAAGGCGGCATTCGACTCTGTAGATCGTGAGGTTCTATGGCAGTGTTTGTCACTGAAAGGAGTACCAGAGAAGTACATTAACCTTATAAAGGCTCTCTACTCGAACACAACTGGTCGAGTGAGAGCTTATGGCGAACTGTCATCAGAATTGGTTACCTCAAGTGGTGTTCGTCAGGGCTGTCCACTCTCTCCATTCTTGTTCAACTTTGTCGTCGACGTACTTTTAGAGATAACACTCTCCTCGTCTAAATTTCCAGGGGTTGAACTTTTACCGGGAGGTTCACTTGTTGACTTAGAATATGCAGATGACATAGTTTTATTTGGTGAAGACGCTGACAAAATGCAGAGTCTTCCGACCACTCTAAGCAACAATGCAAGCATGTTCGGGATGCGATTCTCTCCCTCGAAATGCAAAATGTTGCTTCAGGATTGGGTTACATCGACACCCGAACTAGTGATAGGCAGTGAAGTAGTTGAGTGTGTCGAACTTTTTCCTCTTTCCAAATTTATTTCACTGGATTATATTCTTTAAATAACATCTCCAAACCCTAATCTTCCCGATTACTGCTTATACTCTTATTACCTCTACCACTACGGGATTTGAATCGACAACTGTATCTCTGTGCTAATGTGGTGTGGCAACTCGAACTGATGTACGTACGTACGAAGTTCTACGTTGTTACTGACTGACTGATATACATATATATATATATATATATATATATATAATCGAAGTCTTTCCGCCAGTTTTTTTGCTTACATTTAAAATGGGACGAAACAATTGCTCAAGTGAAACTAGAAGGCTCTGAAAATTGCTAACAGATTATACAAAATCTCTACAAAACCGCCCAAGTAAATATATTTTACACCTTATATAAACTAGACAATCCACACAACTTACTTGTTCGGATTAAAGAAAATAAACTTTCGGATGTCGGATTTGAATGCACTATGACCCTAAAGTCGAGGCTCGTAAAAGCTCTCTTAATATTTTGTATATCAACCAAAGAACCATTTCTTGGTGGCAAACAAAGTATCGGATCAAATTTATCAACTGAAAAAACAACACACAGTCCACGCTCAGCACCATCTGTGCGGTAGACATACGAAGAAGGACTCTTTTCTGAAGGTATGCTGAAAACCGGTAATAAAGAAGTACACGAAACAGAACACTTTAGTGAACTGCTCCAGGTCTTATTATTAGGTTTGTTTTGCGGGCTATCACAACTTAAACTTGATCTTATTTGTGTTGAAGAATGTTCTTCTACGAGCGACAAATTCCTAAAACATTAACAAGAAAGTGACAGAATTACGTATTAGAACTATCCACATCGTCCACCATCACCTTCTATGTTAAATCCTAAATCATGTATTCAGGAATTTAGAAAAAAACATATAGTTAGTTTTGAGGAGTTAGAAAAGAACAAATAAAGTATAAAGCAACTGTTAATTTCAAATAAAATACAAAATCAACGACAGAATACAAATACACTTCATTCTAACAGTTCACATAGAAATAAAATTCGTTTAGAACACTGATATATTGCTACGCGCAAGTTTATTTCGTCTAACGAATAAGGCCTAGATACATACATATTTTGTGAATACAACAAGGATAGTGAGAAAAATTCAACTGTTTCTAGTTGACATCACTATCACCAGTGTGACTACACAGAAGCACGGAATAGTGGGTTTATGGATTCATTATTCGAAAGTAGCCTGGTGTTATTTCGTAAGTCCAGATATCTAGTCAAAGAACTGATACATTGATATGATTAACAATGTTACAAAAGGAAGACTGGAAGTGAGAAATTACTGTACTAGACCTACGCAGTATCTTTTAAGGAACACACGTTACCATAGAACTGCCTCAAATATGTGCTAAACAGAGTAGCGGTTCAAATTTGGAGAAGCGTGAAGAGTAACATGTGGAGAAAATAGAATAGTAAAAACGCGAAACGACTAATTAATTACATCAAATATACCTAAATAAAATAATGAAAGTAGTCAATAACGAATAGAAACAAAATAGGTAGTGAACCAGAATAAACTGACAATTAGAACTAGAAGTATTAGCAAGATTTCAAATCCATTAGACGCCAAAACTCCAAGCTTTGGAGCAAAATCTATTAACTTGAGAACAGTTCGTTTAGAAATTTCGGGAAAATGAAAAAACCCAGAGTTCAGTCAGGTATTGGTTTTTTCCAAAATAAACAAACACGCATAAAATTTTCACGTAACTTGAGAAAATATCGAGAAGCAAAGATGGAAAATAACAAGATTTTCACTCAGTTTGGGCTTTTCCCAAAAACTACCCAAAATATCTACTGAATTTGGGAAAGCGCCTTCATTTCCCTAGGCAAATCTCCATAACTGACTATATATCGTTCAATAAAATTGGTAATTACCCATACCAATTTTGGTAGACATGATGGAGGTTGCATTAGAAGACGAACAAATCCACGGTTGCTTTGTAAGTTGCAACTGCCGTTCACACTTCCAGTGGGAAAATTGCCTAGGATGCACAGAGTAGACCCTTATAGGACCGAAAGACTACTGTTGGTGTATGTCCTATCACGACAAATAGCCACTGAATATACATTGCATGGAACGGAAAGTCACATATATAGCAAACATTACTGACTAGATGTTTAGGGTTCAAAGTTCAATCAGTCGGTGAGAACGATATAAGGGGACTGATTAAACGAGTCGGGCTTATTCGGATGGTGTACGAATAAAGTACAAAAGTGGAGACCGAAAGAAAACGTAAGTATAAACCGTGTACATATGGTTCTATTTTAGTCTCCCCAAAACTTCTCCAGACACCAGGAGAAACCACGAACCTTCATGACGTTTTGCAAGCCCTAAAACCTCTCAGAATTTCCCCGAAATCTAGAGATAAAGCAAAAGCTAATCTTAACTGGGATAACTAGTAGATAATTAAGCTACCAAAACGACAGAAACTGTTAGAAAGCCGGATCTTTGTCCACATTACTAGTCAATCTTGGTGGTAAATTTGTCAGATATTCCGTAGAAATTGTAGGTAGAAACCGCAAACTTAGTCAACAGTTTGGGAGTTCATCTAAAGAAGTAAGGGGATTATCCCAGGCAGTAGAAACTATGGGAAAATTCAATTATTACCCTAACAAAAACTAGATCCTAAAAGACCTCACTAGTCCCTCAAACATCCAAGAAGGGAAATAAAGGCGGACAACGCGGAAATAAATGAGACATTTCTTTTAGAAAATCAGGGGGAAATAATTATTTCTTATTAATAGGAAGACGCGCCAGTCTACTTTTTCGCTTGTCATGAGAGAACGATGCGAAGTTTCCCCACTTCTGTCCCTGAGTCTATAAAGTTGCTGAACCGCCTACTTTTCGACCACATACACACCGAATTGCCCACTTTTCATCTAAATACATGGGGCCACTGTACTTTTTAGGACGTTTTCATAATATTGTCTCGTGATTCTTCCAGAATCGATCAATATTGCCTTGAATAGGGGAGCCTGGTTTAGAAACAATACGAGAAAAATAAGTCAAAAGCACTGTGAGCACATGGGATCCACTTACATTCAACAGCAAGATCAACCTGCTCAGAACAAACATATTCAAACACACCGCTTTGGCAAATCTGAGGAGTCCTCGAATCATTAAAACTACTTTTCCATATAGTTTTTCAGAAAGAATGGAATAGTAATTAACTTATATACGAAGAGCTTTTGACTGTCTTTAGCATGATTGGCTTTGTATTTTTAGTTTGTGAATCCAATTAAGAAAGAGTAATTTAATGCTAATTGGTTAAGACCATAGTCACACCTACACCATCATGTTCACATCTCTATCACAGCTTATGAGGCAGAGATACTTACAAATTATTGTCAGTGACAATGACGTCCGTAAGGTATTAATATGGATTTATGGTTGTTTAGTTGGATCACAAAAATGCATTGACTAGGGCATTTTTATAAAAGCGTACTCAGTCAATTACATTGCATCAGGATATCTGTTCATTGTTCGTTGATTACCTGAACACCGAGGCCATCCAGATAGTTGGTGTGAATTCGCTGTTGGGACAAATAGCAGTTTTATTTTATAGCCCTACATCATGCACTCACAGAAATCCATTATTACCTGAATATGTGGGACACCAAACAACCACGTACCAAGCAAACTAGTCACTGACACCCTACGAAATATTTTTTCCTTGTTCGCACGATTAATCATCAGTTCTCACTCACCTTGTAGAGCCAGAATAATGTCATTTGGCCCTAACTTACTCATCCGGCAGTCGGGTCACTGTATATCAATCATTTCACAAATCCTCGTCAAGGTCAATGGCAGCCAACGCTCACCAATCAGTGACACCGTATAGACTACCCCATGTGGCAGTAACCAAGCTGTTTTCATGGTACCTGTTCTCATTAATATATTTCAGTAATAACATTGTTTGTGTTGTACAGTCTTCAAAGTGGTCATAGTACCCGAATCAACGCAAAGTGCCAACCTTGAGGTGTGACTTCGGTATGAGCTGGTCGGTGATGCCATCCCCGTCCAAGACGAGTAGACACAGTTAACCTGTGTTGGTTATCTACACTGATGAGCAAGACTTTAAATAACGCAATCTATTATGACCATCATCTGTACGATTGCATTCTAAACTTATTTTTCGTCATTTCTGTCGATATTGCGTAGGTTTGTTAATCACTGAGAAAATTTGCTGTCTTATCTTCATGGTGATTCGTGTTCAAACTTAACTAACTAGCTGAATCAACGAAAATAACCAATCAACAAAAACTATAATCGACATTCATGGTTTTTTAACAGGCATTTGTAACATTGGCAACACGGCAAGATAAAACGACCTTCGATTTGAGATTATCAATCGATTGGTAGGATCGATACCTTTAACTGGGTACATGTAGCTAGTTAGAAACTAATTGAATCCAAAACCTACACACCTCACATGTGGGGATTTACTCCAACTCCAACCTACCGATCGAGTTGCTCATTGCACATCTACAACATGTAAGGACTCCCGTGTAATATTACTTATTTACTTACGCCTGTTACACCTCGTGGAGGGGCATAGGCCGCTCACCAGCATTCTCCATCTAACCCTGTCCTGGGCAATCCTTTACAGCTCCTTTCAGTTGTTATTCATCTTTTTCATATCTGCTTCTACTTCCCTACGTAATGTATACTTTGGCCTTCCTCTTTTCCGCTACCCTTCAGGATTGCAGGTTAGGGCTTGCCTCGTGATGCAGTTTGGTGATTTCCCTAATGTATGTCTTATCAACTCCGACTGTCTTTTTATGATTTCCTCTTCAGACGGAACCTGGTTTGTTTCCTCCCACAGAAGGCTGTTGCTGATGGTATCCGGCCAATGGATGCTGAGTATCCTGCGTAGACAACCATTTATAAATACTTGCACATGTTTGATGTTGGTTGTAGTAGTTTTCCAAGTTTCAGTTCCGTACAATAGAACTGACTGTCTTGACGTTCGTATTGAAGATTTTCACTTTGATATTGGTTGAAATTTACTTTGAGTTCCATATGTTCTTCCATTGTAGGAAAGCTGTCCTTGCTTTGCTAATCCTCGCGTTTATGTCTGCATCTGAACCTCCTTGTTCATCGGTGATGCTTCCCAGGTATGTGAAGGATTCTACATCTTCCAGAGTCTTGCCATCAAGAGTGACTGGATTGCTGTTCTTCGTTTTGAATTTGAGGACCTTGGTTTTTTCTCCTTGTGTATGCTGAGGTCTACTGATGAAGAAACTCCTGCTACACTAGGTGTCTTTATCTGCATTTGTTCATGTGTATGCGATAGGAGGGCTAGGTCATCTGCGAAGTCCAAATCGTCTAATTGGTTCTGAGCTGTCCATTGTATGCCATGTTTCCCCTCAGATATCGAGGTTTTCATAATCCAGTCGACCACCAGGAGAAAGAGGAAGGGAGAGAGTAAACAGCCTTGTCTGACTCCGGTCCTTACTTGGAATGCATCTGTCAGCTGTCGTCCATGCACGACTTTGCACTGTAGTCCGTCATATGAGTTCCGGGTAATATTGACAATCTTCTCAGGAACTCTGTAGTGTCGAAGAAGTTTCCATAACGTCCTCCTATCTACACTGTCAAATGCCTTTTCATAATCGATGAAGTTGATGCACAGTGACGAGTTCCACTCAACTGATTATTCGACGATGATCCGTAGTGTCGCAATTTGGTCTGTGCACGACCGATCCTTACGGAATCCAGCTTGTTGATCTCGAAGTTGGACGTCTACTGCGTCTTTCATCCGGTTCAGCAACACTCAGTTATAAACTTTCCCTGGTATTGACGGTAGTGAAATGCCTCTGTAGTTTTAACATTTGCTCAGATTTCCTTTCTTTGGTATCTTGATGATGTGTCCTTCTCTCCAGTCCATCGGGACTTTTTCCTTCTCCTAAATCTTTTTGAATAGAAGATGAAGCATGTTTGTAGTTACTTCGACGTCTGACTTCAGTGCTTCAGCTGGTATGTTGTCGGGTCCTGCTGCTTTCCCGTTCTTGATTTGTCTAATAATCATTCTGATTTCTCCCGTCGTTGGTGGATTGACATCTATAGGAAGATCTGTGCGTGCTGATTCGATGTCCGGTGGATTCATTGGAGCCGGCCTATTCAGGAGTTCCTCAAAGTACTCTACTCATCTGTTCCGTTGTTGTTGAATTTCAGTGATTGGCTTGCCTTCTTTTTCTTTGACTGGTCTCTCTGGCTTACTGTATTTCCCTGCTAGTTTCTTCGTCGTATCGTAAAGCTGTTTCATATTTCCTTCTTTTGTAGCTTCACGTGTAATACATCTATTGAAATATCAACCACTTGTAAACATAATCATCGGGCAACAGAAGGACACATCTGCCTGTAGATTATTCACTGAAAATAAGCGAGACTCAATCGGATACCAACGGTAAATTTATCTTCCTCCTGTTTCATTTGACACGCTGTCCTCCGCCACATACTAACCTATACAATTTTTTATTACGTGTCCACCGTTTACCTAATTTCCAGCTGTCGAGTCCCACGTTCAGGCATGATCATCCCTACCATTCACAAGCAAGGCTATTTATGCGGACTTCAACATGCCTGCGATTTCTTGGTCTTCAGTTAAAACGTTGAAATGTTTTGAATCATTTGCTGAGTGTTCAGAGCTTGGGCAGAGGACTCAATACATCGGTAGACCTAACAGTCATCAAAATACCTTGGATTTAGTCCTCAGCATTAATCTTACCCCCAATAATTTGTCCATCGGAAAGACGTTTCCAAGTAGTGACCGTAATATCATCATCTACAGTCTTGGTAATGAAAGCTACAACTAGTAAACATAAAAGTATCAAACTCCGTAGAGACTACTCCAGAATCAATTGGGAAAGCTACCAAAATTGCCTAAGGAGCATTGATTGGAGGAACTCTCTTACCGGTAACAATACCGACAAAATAGCTAACATATTATATTACAACACCAGTAGCACCTTTGACAACCACACCTTTAGGGTACTGTGATCTTTCTAAACACCACTATATACAGGTCCGAATACGAAGACGAATTAAAAGACATGACACCTGATTCCAAATCCTTAATGAATTTTTCACTTTATTTACGGTCAGACAATTATTTGTCACGGCAGAGGCAATATGTTCATGGAAGTAGTCGCACAGAAACCTAACAATGACTCACTCCCACTTATCAAACTCCTTCAAAATGAACTTGAATGTTCAAAATTGAGGGGATGCAACATATTTATTAAGGACAACCGAGTAAACGAAGATCCCCAATTTATTGCGGAACTATTTAATGAACAATTGTGCCTCATCAACAAATGGAAATCCACTGAATGAATCAGAGTTTACCCCAGTATCTTCCTGTTAAATCACAAATGTTGACTTAAATGTACCGAACATATCTAAGGCAAATAGCACACTGCAACATTCTTACACTGAAGAACCAGCTAGTATTCCAGCTAGCGTGCTATAATGTGGAAGTGATGATATGTACGCTATACCTCTTAAACTATTCGCAACACCATTCTCTACCGCGCGTCACCCTACTGACTAGAAACCTACACATACCACCTCCAAAACCAAGTCAGAAACTGTAGTAAATGCTCGACATTTCCGGCCCGTATAAAGGACCACCGGCATTTAGAGTGATGGATAATGTAGTTAAAGCGGTGGTAGTCCAATATCTACTTACCAATAGTCTCATCTTGGCCACCCAACATTAGTTTCTGAGGTTCAGGTCATGTGATGCATACCTGGTGGACTTAATTATGAAACGCCATACCAAGACACCGGGCCGCCTGTATTAGCTCTATTCTTAGACTTTAAGAAAGTTTTTGATTAGGTTCCGTATAAAAGGCTTCTCGTCAAGTCAAAGTCCCTCGGAATCGATAGCCATCTATTATCCTGGTTCGCTTTGTTCCTAACAGAACCTTAAAAAATTGTGAAGTAGAACGACCGTCTCGCATCGCTAAAACCAATAACTATTGGAGTTTTCTACCGATGCGCATTTCTCAACCTCGAAAATCGTTTGTTTAGAACCAATATTACTACACTTCCTCTATTATTTTAAAGTCTGGAAGGCTATTGAGTTTCATCATAAAGAAGTCTTTCACGACTGAAGGTAAGCTTACATTTTTCGAAATACGTACACGGCCCTCTCTTTGTATACTGCGCTTTTTACCTTTCTGTACATGAGTACGATTCACAAGAAACGAGTAGAAGACGTCTAATGAAACTCCACGCATCGAATGCTAGGATGTGACTCCAGTCTCGACTACACAGCTAGAGCTAAAAACCTCTCCTTACAACCTCCGTGCTGTCGTCAACCATGTAACAATCTAATACTTTTTACAAAGTTGTGCATGATCTCTCATATCTAATCTCCCGCTTAACTATGGTCCATGACTCTGTCACTAGGCTCAGGAACAACGATCCGAATTCCCTTTATTATTTGAAGCCAATCACCTCGTTTACAGAAAGAAGTCTGTGGTGGTTATGTTCCTAACCACAAAATCCCCAAAGCTGAACATAAGGTAACTGGAGATAAGGCCGACAATAGTGAACGAGGGAATAATTTGTTCATTCAGTCGGATGGAATGACTTAGCCCCGCAGACGTGATCATTCTCTATAATATTTCTCTACTCGCGTTAAATATTTTATTTTATCTTTAGCCCAAATATGTTCTTCAAAAGCATCAGATGTTATACTGCTGATTCTTACGATACAATGAGTCAGGGTACTTCTAGTTCTAATTGTCAGTTTATTCTGGTTCACTACCTATTTTGTTTCTATTCGTTATTGACTACTTTCATTATTTTATTTAGGTATATTTGATGTAATTAATTAGTCGTTTCGCGTTTTTACTATTCTATTTTCTCCACATGTTACTCTTCACGCTTCTCCAAATTTGAACCGCTACTCTGTTTAGCACATATTTGAGGCAGTTCTATGGTAACGTGTGTTCCTTAAAAGATACTGCGTAGGTCTAGTACAGTAATTTCTCACTTCCAGTCTTCCTTTTGTAACATTGTTAATCATATCAATGTATCAGTTCTTTGACTAGATATCTGGACTTACGAAATAACACCAGGCTACTTTCGAATAATGAATCCATAAACCCACTATTCCGTGCTTCTGTGTAGTCACACTGGTGATAGTGATGTCAACTAGAAACAGTTGAATTTTTCTCACTATCCTTGTTGTATTCACAAAATATGTATGTATCTAGGCCTTATTCGTTAGACGAAATAAACTTGCGCGTAGCAATATATCAGTGTTCTAAACGAATTTTATTTCTATGTGAACTGTTAGAATGAAGTGTATTTGTATTCTGTCGTTGATTTTGTATTTTATTTGAAATTAACAGTTGCTTTATACTTTATTTGTTCTTTTCTAACTCCTCAAAACTAACTATATGTTTTTTTCTAAATTCCTGAATACATGATTTAGGATTTAACATAGAAGGTGATGGTGGACGATGTGGATAGTTCTAATACGTAATTCTGTCACTTTCTTGTTAATGTTTTAGGAATTTGTCGCTCGTAGAAGAACATTCTTCAACACAAATAAGATCAAGTTTAAGTTGTGATAGCCCGCAAAACAAACCTAATAATAAGACCTGGAGCAGTTCACTAAAGTGTTCTGTTTCGTGTACTTCTTTATTACCGGTTTTCAGCATACCTTCAGAAAAGAGTCCTTCTTCGTATGTCTACCGCACAGATGGTGCTGAGCGTGGACTGTGTGTTGTTTTTTCAGTTGATAAATTTGATCCGATACTTTGTTTGCCACCAAGAAATGGTTCTTTGGTTGATATACAAAATATTAAGAGAGCTTTTACGAGCCTCGACTTTAGGGTCATAGTGCATTCAAATCCGACATCCGAAAGTTTATTTTCTTTAATCCGAACAAGTAAGTTGTGTGGATTGTCTAGTTTATATAAGGTGTAAAATATATTTACTTGGGCGGTTTTGTAGAGATTTTGTATAATCTGTTAGCAATTTTCAGAGCCTTCTAGTTTCACTTGAGCAATTGTTTCGTCCCATTTTAAATGTAAGCAAAAAAACTGGCGGAAAGACTTCGATTATATATATATATCAGTCAGTCAGTAACAACGTAGAACTTCGTACGTACGTACATCAGTTCGAGTTGCCACACCACATTAGCACAGAGATACAGTTGTCGATTCAAATCCCGTAGTGGTAGAGGTAATAAGAGTATAAGCAGTAATCGGGAAGATTAGGGTTTGGAGATGTTATTTAAAGAATATAATCCAGTGAAATAAATTTGGAAAGAGGGAAAAAGTTCGACACACTCAACTACTTCACTGCCTATCACTAGTTCGGGTGTCGATGTAACCCAATCCTGAAGCAACATTTTGCATTTCGAGGGAGAGAATCGCATCCCGAACATGCTTGCATTGTTGCTTAGAGTGGTCGGAAGACTCTGCATTTTGTCAGCGTCTTCACCAAATAAAACTATGTCATCTGCATATTCTAAGTCAACAAGTGAACCTCCCGGTAAAAGTTCAACCCCTGGAAATTTAGACGAGGAGAGTGTTATCTCTAAAAGTACGTCGACGACAAAGTTGAACAAGAATGGAGAGAGTGGACAGCCCTGACGAACACCACTTGAGGTAACCAATTCTGATGACAGTTCGCCATAAGCTCTCACTCGACCAGTTGTGTTCGAGTAGAGAGCCTTTATAAGGTTAATGTACTTCTCTGGTACTCCTTTCAGTGACAAACACTGCCATAGAACCTCACGATCTACAGAGTCGAATGCCGCCTTAAGGTCGAGAAATACTACGATTGTGGGGCGTCTGAATGTGTGTCTGTGTTTTAGAACCTGACGTAATGTGAATATCTGATCTATACAACCACGTCCAGGTCGAAAACCGGCCTGGTTTTCTCTAATCTGCTCTTCACGAGCTTTGATTAGGCGTCGAAGTATTATTGAAGCTAATATTTTAGACACTATATTAGTCAAACTGATTCCTCTGTGATTGTCACAAGAGGACTTTTGTCCTTTCTTATAGACTGGGACAATCAGTGATTGAGACCAGTCAGATGGGATTACGTCCAGTTCCCAAATTCTACCTAAGACCTCGGTTAGTCTCATTGCTAATACTGGACCACCATCCTTAAAAATCTCAGGAGTAAACCTGTCAGGGCCTGCTGCTCTCCCTCGCTTTTTCAACTTCGTAAAGGGACGGAGGACCTACATTAACTTGCCATTCAGGTTGACTAGAGATCGTGGGAAACCGAAGTGTGGCTGAAGGCCAGTTGAACTGATCCCTAAAGTGTTCTGCCCATCGATCCAATCTCCTGGATTGAGAATGAATAATATGTCCATCTTTCTCTGAGATTGTTTCGCTAACGGTCGGGTTCCTAATTCCGGTTTCCTTAACGAGTCTGAACAATTGTCTCCTATTACCTATTGCCGCTGCCTTTTCCATCTCTCTTGCTTTCGCTACCCATCACTGTTCGCGATCATTGCGTAGACTTCTTGTCAGCTTGCGCTTAAGCTGACTCCGCTCTTCATTATGTTCAGAGCCAGGTGGAATGAGTTTCCGAGCATCTATCAGTGAGATAGATGCTGCTGAGATCCAGTGTTGCTCCCTAACCTTCTGGTTTACCTTACTAGCAGATATCACTGCTGTTTCCACAGCTTTTCGGATATCATTCCATGCTGCCTCAGGGTGGGCATCACATACATGGCTGCCTAACTGTTTTCCTAGTTGTTCCTGAAATATACTCTTAGCTTGACTATCATTAAGTAGGCCCCTAAGAGGTTTCCTTGCAGCATCTTTCCTACGTCCAGTAAGACGCAAGCAAATACGCGCTCGCACTAGAGCATGATCTGAATCTAGGCATGTGCTCCAGAATGAGCGACAGTCTTCTATCGAGCCCCTCCATCGGTGGCTGATAGCAATGTGATCTATTTGGGTCCAACGTTGGGACGAATTAGGGGGTCTCCATGTTAAAAGATGTTTTTCCTTATGTTTAAAGTTAGCATTTGCAAAGAACAGGCGGTTATCTGAGCATAGCTGCAACAGACGGTCGCCATTATCTGTTCTCTGAGCCACGACACCATAAGATCCACCTAGGTGTCTTTCCCTATCGCTTAGTTTACCTACTTGAGCATTAAAGTCACCGGCCACTATTACTACATCCGAGCGCCTAGCTTTTCGGAGAAGGTCGGAAAGCTTTCTGTAAAACTCATCTTTTACATCATCTGAGCTGCAGTCAGTGGGAGAATAGGCAGAGACGACGAAGAGGCAACGACAAGTGTCCCTATCTTTCCGGATTCTTACTGTTCCGTTCAGTCGGACAGCACACAAACGATTGTCTACTGGGATCCACTCTAAGAGAGCTAGTTCTGCCCTAGGACTCAATGCTATACCTACGCGGGCGAGGCCACGTAAAGCAGCATCAGGGTTTCCAGATACACGAAGCGTAAATCGAGTCGGTTCTTTATTTTGGCATGGTGAGGTCAAATGAATGACGCTACTTGGATCCTGTATGCGCGTTTCGGAGACGCAGCACACATCGATGGCGCGAGATTCTAAAGTTTTAGCTAAGGAAGCCTGCTGTCCTATTTGGCAAAGTGTTCGTACGTTAAAAGCTCCTACGTGTAGTTTAGAGCGTGGTTTCAGGAGACCAGGAATGGCGTTCCACGTACTCGAATCGTTTGCCCTAGCGGTGCGAGGTGATAAAGAGACGTGAGGAGGGTTAGTCGGGGAGATAAGAGAGGTATTAGAAGGTATAGGAAGGATTTGAATGTGACCACCTTGGTCTCTTGTACTGTTACGGGTATGAGGGCTGATATCACTTCCCGGCTGCCCACACCGTGGAAGGGTATTTCTTGAGGAACCTGAAAAGGAAATTGGATTAGTGTTGGTCTTGACGACCTGGGAGCGTGACCGCAGAGCCCAAGGGACAACTGCTTGAGGCCGGTCGCGCACGGCCTTTTTGTGGAAGGTTTTTGACGTGTTAGCTTCGTTCTTCAAAGGGCCTTACCGCCGGAGACGGAAATCCGTGAGGTAAGGTGAGGTGTGACATTTTTAGGGTCGACCTTTTCTAACCCCACCCCTCCTTGTGGGAAGGCAGCATCGCTGTCATGCTGGTTGTCCGAGGGAAACACCTTACTGCTGTCACACCCCTCTACAGTCAGCAGTACGACTTCGCCCTCAGACCTTGAGTTGCTGCTTTTAGTCTTACCGTTCACCAATCGACCTGCCTGGCATGGTAGAACCTGCAGGAACATATGTTCCAGCCAATATAGCTCGGTTGGGTCATCACGATAGGCAAGCCCGACCACCGCGTCAAGGTAGCAGCTTCGATCGGGTATATATATATATATATATATATATATATATATATATATATGAGTATCCTTACAACAATTTCACTATATCAGTTATATCAAAATACAGACTGCTCCGCTAATGCTCACGCATGGCCACGCGTATATAGCCACTGCCAGGGAAGCCTTACTCGCTGGTTTCTTGCGGCATTACTATTGTTTACGAAATTGAGAGGAGGAAAAGCGAATGTCCGGTGCTTTAATCGGTTGGTGGCCATGGAGAGTCCATCTAGAAGAGTTGGAAAACCCTGATTCCAAACCGATGGTCTACATGGCCTCCAAAATCCTGAAGAAACAAATGGCATATGAACCAATTGTTAGTTACCGGCATCTCCTGACGTTGCTCCACTACCTTGTAGATCAGACCTTTAGGTTAAAGGCTCCGGGTGTGGCCCCCTAAGAAAACGATCTGCTTCAGTTTGGTCACCCGTGCAGTATCATAGCCCACACAAATCAAGTGACTTATGTTTATTTATTTGAAAACATAAATATTGGTACAAGGAGTCACCAAATATATATGCGCCACACAAAACAATCACAATGGGAAGAGAAAAAAGGATGGTAAGGAGCGTAAAAGAAAAAAAGGAAGAAGAAGAATAACGACCAGGTTAGTGTCAGGTAGTGTAATAATAATGGGGGAGACGGAAAGGTACAACCAGAAGAAATCTTTCAGTTTAGAAAGATACAACCACTTTTTTATGAAGAAAATCAAAGAAGGTTACAGCAAGATCGCCACTGGCTTATATTCTGAGCCATATCTGATAACGTCTCTGCGCCCGAACACACGATCCCGAACCTCTACATTACTAACATGGTGTTGCCACTGGATGTCAGCAATCCTTCGGAGACAGTGATGATCAAACACAGAGAGTCATCTAACATCCTCAACTCAGAGAGGCCAGGTTTCACAAGCATAGAGCAAAACTGCTCTCACCGACGCGTTGTAGATCTGAACTTTTACAGCCAGACTAACATCACGAAGGCGCCAAAGATGGCCCAGATTGGCATAACCCGCTCTGGCTTTCACTATACGTGCATTGATCTCATCACTTACGCAACCACCAGCACTTATGCAGCTACCTAGATACACGAACTTCTCGACTACTTCTATCTGCTCGCCATCCAGAGTGAGTACAGGATTAGGATCTTGCGAGTCTTGTAGAAGTACTTTGCATCTCGAAGGTGCAAAGCACATACCATACCTATGGACATTGATTGCCAACTGATTAAGTGCGGATTGCATGGCTTGGGCATTACCGCACAGTAAGACAATATCATCCGCATACTCAAGGTCAAGAAGTCTTTCTCCAGGCAACAGGTCCACACCGCCATTACTTAGATCCATCAGAGCTGTTTCCAGGACGTCGTTGAAAGCAAAGTTGAAGAGGAATGGTGAGATTGGGCAACCCTGTCTAACCCCATTGCTTGAATGGAACAATGGAGAGAGGTGGTTGTATGCCCTCACTCTGCCTGAGGTGTTTGTACATAGGGCCTTTAGGATGTTAATAAACTTCTCAGGCACACCGTTCTTCAATAGACAATCCCAGAGAACAGTCCTGTCCAACGGATCGTAGTAGACTTATCCCCGATAGTTATTAAAGGAACGACGTGAACCCTTTTTAAAGATAGGGACAACTATCGACTCATTCCATGACGTTGGTACACTCTTTAGTTCCCAGACCTTTGTAAACAACGTCGTCAGTTCCTTAGTCAGAAAGTCACCACCATCTTCTTGGTCCTTACGCAAGCTTTCCTCGATTTCCTTACTGTTATGACCTTGATCTGTCTACTCTACATTAAGACCTTGACGCAATGGGCTGATCGGTTTAACCTTGAGGCTAGTGCGCTTGAGTTTGAGGCGGGGTAGAGAGAAGAAAACTATTCTACCACCTGATTGGCTGACAAGCACGGTAATGAGAGAAGACAAGACAACTGGAACACTATTCACTCTATTCCGATATATTGATTTCCTGTGAAATCTCTGAATTCAGATTAGTGCAAAAAGGTACATGAATAAATAGGTGATTTACCCGACCACAACGTGCAATAATTTGGGAAAATACAATTATATCCAAAACTGGGAATTAGAGTAGGAAATAAGGTGCAAAATATTATGTTTAAATTACAATAGCTTCGGAACAAAAAGGGGTATGGCAATGAACGATACATCGAACGAAAGCTCATGTTCTGTAGAATAAAATAGGGACAAAAATAAATGTCAGTGTTTTACAAGCTTTGAATAAAATGAAATAACGTCCCGAAAAATAGCTTTCGTAGTTTGTCGGGGCTTCTTGTTCCCCTGTTCACATAACTTAAGTAACATCCTTCGTTTGTGGTCAAACTCACGGTCATCCGGAGTAGACCGACGGGCTTCAATGAGTTGTAAGGAGCCTGAAGAAACCCAGTGCTTATAAGCGGGACGTTTCGCAAACCCACAACTTACTGTACCCGCCATTTTCATGGCGTCATGCAATTACAACCAATTCTCATCTATACTTTTCGGTGGAATGGTAGCTAGCCTAGAAGCTAGCTCGGTTTGATTCTTACTTGCAACAGAAGTTGCAACCAACTTGCTAACATCAATCCGTTGGTGGCGGTCACTTCGTTGTCCACTGAAAAGTAAGGTAAGATTGGCGCAGACCAGGGCATGGTCAGAGCCCAGATAGGTACTCCAAAAGGAGCGGCAGTCTTGTACACAACCACGCCAGTGGTAGCTGATCGCGATGTGATCAATCTGAGTCCAGGCTTGAGATGCAGAGGGAGGACGCCAGGTGGCACATCGGCGATGACTGTGCCGAAAGTTAGTGCTAGCCAGAAACAGGTTGTGGTCTGTGCAAAGTTGCAGTAAACGGTCCCCGTTATCTGTCCTGCGACCAACAAGTCCCCATCGGTCACCTAAACGACTCTCTTCTGTGCCTAGACGCCCGACCTGAGCATTCAAGTCTCCGGCTAGTACTACAATATCTGTCGAACGCACTTTCTGGAGAAGAACAGATAATTGGTGATAGAATTCATCCTTGACTGCATCCGGGCTGCAATCTGTCGGGGCATAGGCGGAGATGACGAAAATACATCGTTTCTCACGCCGATTTCTTCTCACTTTGATGGGACTTTCTAATCTAACAGCACATAACCGACTGTTAATGGGGATCCAATCGATTAGTGCTGCCTCAGCTCTAGCGCTTAGTGCGACACCAACGCCAGCAAGACCAGCCGAAGATGCCACAGGGTCCCCGGATAAACGCACATAAAACAAGCTTTTTGAAGCGACAGACGGAGAGCGGATTTGTAGTACTTCACCAAAGTCTTGAATACGGGTCTCGGATAGACAACAAACATCGATATTAAGACTTTCCAAGGACATAGCCAGCCCTATCTATTGTCCGGCCTGCATAAGTGTGCGAACGTTGAAGGCAGCCAGTTTGAATGGTGCACGTGGTTTCAGAAAAACTGCTTCAGTACTCATATTCGGTGGTAACATACAATTTTCAACCGGACAGTGACTCGAGAACGTTTAGATAGAGTCGAATTTCCACCATAGACGAGCTGCTGTATAAGTCGAAAAATAAGTATACACAGAGTGGGAATAAAAGAGAGTGAATAAATGACGTAGTAAATAATAATAATTAGTAATAATAATATCAATAATAGTAATAATAATGATAATTTGAATCATTCGATTGTTAGTCGAAGCAAGAAAAGTAGTTTCCATAAGTATAGACTGTTCATCATTTGTGTGTGTGCTGTGATACTGCCCGAGTGACCAGACCGAAGCAGGTGGGTATCTTAGGGGGCTACACCCCGAGCCTTTGACCTAAAGGTCTGACCCACAAGACAGTGGAGCATCGTGAGGAGGTGCAGTCCCATGGTAGCCGCTGACCAACGATTGGTTCATACGCCATTTGTTCCCTCAGGATACTGGAGCCCATGTACACCAGTGGTTTGGGACCCGGTTAAAGCGCCGGACCTTCGCTCTTCGTCCTCTCATTTTCGTAAACAACACCCCCGCCACGAGAAGGCAGTGAGTAGGACTTCCCTGGCAACGGCTGTATACGCGTGACCGTGTGAGAGCATTTCGAGAGGGAATGCGGGCCCACCCCGCTCTCGGCCTTACCAGGGCATTTAGGGGCAGTGACTTGTGTGGCGCGTATGTATTCGGTGCATCTTTGTACCAATATTTGTGTTCACATAGAAAATAATTATATGAAAACAAAATTATTTTCACCCTGTAAGTCACATTTTGTTCGGCGACTATAATCTTTTTCTCATTCTCTGCCAATTTCCCTATACCGTGTATTATAGTATGGTGAATATACACCGGTTAGATGTTCTTTTTTATGTAATACTACAGATTTCAGTTTACCATGACATTAATAAAGCTGTTAGCATCAAGTTAGAAGATTTCGGTTTAAACAGTGATGCTTTTCATTTACTGTGACATACAAACCTTAGTATAAAGTAACAGTTTTTAACATCACACGAAGTCCATTGATATCAATAAGAACACGTCTGATTACTAAAGTATATATACGTTTCGCAAAACAAATGAAAAACACTTTTCATTTTACTCAATCAAGCTTTTACTACTACAAGTAAACTCATATTTTAAAATAGGTAAAGGTTATTAACTGTTACACTTTTATCCATGACTTATGTATGCACATATTCATTAAAATTGTGTAATTCCAGTCTCAACACAAAATCTACGCGACCATGATTGTTTCGCTTGTGTAATTCTTTCTCATGGTGATGAGGGTGGATTAATATACGCAACAGATGGTTCTATTCCCGTGGATCGTATCATCGCTCCATTTCGTGGGGATCAATGTTTGGATTTAAGAGGCAAGCCAAAACTATTCTTTATCCAAGTATGTCCTTTTTAATTATGTAAATCTAGTTTCTGAACACTAATGTGTAACGGTTTTAGAAAACAATTAGGGGGTTTTAGAGAAAATATTGGTTAGTTCTCCGAACAAGTTGTGTTGAACCATATATACGTGTGAGAATACTACAGTAGTTTAAAAGGAGTAGAACTTTTTCTCACTTTACAGTTGAATATTATGCTGACCGTACCAATTCTTTAATCTATTCTGACTTTTGTAAAGGATGTTGTACATATCTATTATTTTATGACACAATAACCAAGTACAAGTGTGTTTAGTAAGTTTTGAACCACACTTGTTTCATTCATTTTTGTGCTTGTCGTTTGAATCTTTCAATTTATGTTTAGGACCGCAATTGACCGGTCTCTTAGCATATATGCGTCCTATGCGGATTGCCTCGATATTGCATTAAGTCACAGACATTATAAGCAGAGACATTTGGTGGCTAGCAGTGGAATCCTGAACATGTGTTTCGTCGTATTTGGACTCGTCAGCTGGATGTACCTGTATCCCAGAGTTGATGCTCACACTCCAGGACTTAAGCCCAATACCATTCGCTTCAAAAGCCATCGCGTTATTCACCTAGCTACTGAGTCCAGATAGCCACTGGCTTGTGCAATGGGGTGGAATTAAATTCAGTTTTGTATTAGTTGTTTAAATCTTCCTATTGTCTTATATTTACTAAAGCTATCAGGATGTTCAAACCAAAGCTAGTCAGTTGATTATGTAGTTCCTGAGTGTTTACTAAGTCAAAGCACTAAATTAGCCATCATAGATACGAGTGTCGTATTGTTGATAGCTAAACGAACCGCCAAATTCCAATTGAATACACATAAGAGGACAAATTATCAAAGAAACTGATTGACTATCTTAGACAGTGAGAGCTATGATTTATATCCAACAAATAGCAGAGTTGCTTATCTGATTAACGATTAACAAAGAATGAAGATGGTCACTAAGTAACCAATAGTTTCACCATCACAACAGGTATATCATGTGTTTTTCTTCTATTTCGGTATCTTCCTATCAATAAAAGTACTTACTTACTTACTTACGCCTGTTACTCCTAATGGAGCATAGGCCGCAGACCAGCATTCTCCAACCCACTCTGTCCTGGGCCTTCTTTTCTAGTTCCATCCAATTCTTGTTCACTTGTCTCATGTCTATTTCCATTTCCCGGCGTAGTGTGTTCTTTGGTCTTCTTCTTTTCCTTTGACCTTCAGGATTCCGTGTGAGGGCTTGTCTTGTGACGCATTCGGGTGCTTTCCTCAATGTGTGTCCTATCCACTTCCAGCGCTTCTTCCTGATTTCTTCCTCCGCTGGGATCTGGTTTGTTCTCTCCCAGAGTAGGTTACTGCTAATAGTGTCCGGCCAACGGATCCGAAGTATTTTGAGTAGACAACTGTTAATAAACACCTGTATCGTCTGGATGATGGCTTTAGTAGTTCTCCAGGCTTCCGCCCCATACAGTAGAACTGTCTTGGCATTTGTATTGAAAATCCTGACCTTGGTGGTGGCCGACAGTTGCTTTGAGTCCCAGATGTTTCCAAGTTGTAAATATGCTGTTCTTGCTTTGCCGATCCGCGCCTTCACATCTGCATCAGATCCACCGTGTTAATCGATGATGCTGCCCAAATATGTAAAGGTTTTTACATCTTCCAAATCTTCTCCGTCAAGTGTGACTCGGTTGTTGCATGTTGTGTTGTATCGGAGAATTTTGCTTTTCCGTTTGTGTATGTTGAGACCTACTGCTGCTGAGGCTGCTACTACACTGGTCGTCTTCCCCTGCATTTGTTGTTGCGTTTGGGATAGAAGGGCCAGATCATCTGCGAAGTCTAGATCGTCTAACTGCATCCTAGATGTCCACTGTATCCCGTGTTGCCCTTCAGATGTTGACGTCTTCATGATCCAGTCGATCACCAGGAGAAAGAGAAAGGGTGAGAGTAAGCAACCCTACCTGACACCGGTCTTTACCTCGAACGACTTTGTCAACTGTCCTCCATGCACGATTTTGCAGTGTAATCCATCATATGAGTTCTGTATGATATTGACTATCTTCTGAGGCACGCCGTAGTGTCGAAGAAGTTTCCATAGTGTTGTTCTGTCCACGCTGTCAAATGCTCTTTCGTAGTCAATGAAGTTGATGTAGAGTGATGAATTCCATTCAATTGATTGTTCCTCAATGATCAGTAGGTGGGTTCCCAAGTAGGCCAACATTATAACTGACATATTTCACCCTTGCTAAAACATACTACACAGTGTTCTGAAGTGTCCTCTCAAATTCTTTATTTCGAAAGATAAGGTGAAGGCATATAAAAAGCAAATTTCTGATCAAGTGATTTTAAACTGTGACCAAGTCATTTCTAGTATTCCTGTATTACAAAGGAAATAGATTTAGTTATTCCAGTCTCTCGTCGTAAGGCTGGCTTACGATTTCGGGTACCTTCTTAGTTGCAGTTCTCTGAACTGCGAAAATTCCTCGTTCTTCGATCATTTTGAAGCTCTAAACCATAATTACTTCCATATTTCCTTCCAGGACGTTTGTTCCGGCTTTAGCTGACATGTCTTTGCTCGCAAATATTAGAGAAGTAAGAACTGAGGCTGTATGGTCACTAATACCTATGAGTGCTGTTGCTCACCAACCCTGAGATAAGGGACAGATTCCCACTAACATGTTCTACTGTAGACAACTTTGCAAATGCGTACCCTAGATAAGGGGAATTGTTTGGTTTTCCGTATAGAGAACCGTTTGTTTACGGAAATTTTAACTACCATTCTCAACTGTTTCTCTTGTTATGGAGTAGTTAAGGTATGACTACTTAGTCTACGTCCCTTTTATCAAGGTACTTTAAAGCAAGAGCATTCTAGTAGGTTAAAGAATACATGCACAAATATGGTATGAATGGAAAAAATCTCTATAAATTGAGGTGGTTCAAAAGGAAGATGAAAGTATAGGAATATGTATAGCTTTAGAACATAGTACTGAAAACAGTATCCTGATCCACATATGGTTATCCCCTTATTTTTCGAAGTTATTTCAACACACTTTCATTTTTATATATTTTATAGGGTTATGAGAAGACTTCGTTTTTGGCAAATTTTCCGGTTTTGCTTATAATAAAATTAATCGGTGGTAAGTGAAACCAACTAATCGTCACAAACCCGATTTAAAGAGTTATTTTGCATAATAATTTAGCATCAATACCATCGGTTCCTGACATTCCCCTTGACCATAAGGAGACGTAACTTGGCAACGTGTTCTGTTCTACAAACTATGGTAGATTGAAGTTATCTCCCCACTATTGTGCTTGCTAGTCAGTAGCACCAGCCTCCCTCATTTCATGATGCTAGGCTCTCTTACGTTTGTGGTATGCATGAATAGTGCCTTAATCTAAGCCCCTTGTTGGAATAGACTGTCTCTACTAGCTCTATGGTACAATCAAATCAGATGGCTAAAGCTTTTGTATTGTGGGTTAGACATCCATCCAGTATATCAGACTTCTATGAAGATAACTAATGATATAAGTTATAAGATACTGATCAGGTTACATGTGGTTTAGAGATGATGAGGACAGGTGACAAATCAAAGAATATGAAAGAGTATAAGATTGTAAATTTTCAGGGTAAGGAAACAAAACATTAAGCAACTCGCAAGAATCTAAGACATTGTGTGCTTCTTATGATCAGCCTTAGTTGATCAGCATCCATAAGATTAGTGAGTTGTCTGTCTACTTTAAATAGAAGAAACGACATGAAACCTAGGAAGAATAATGCAACTTTAACCATCAGAGAGATTTGGAGTCTGAAAGTGAGGAGTAGGAGCATAAAGGTGTGACTAATAATCGATGAATAATGGGAGAGGATAAGCCCTGTGTTCTGTTCATATTCATCTTAACGACGATGAAGTCCGTTATCTTCATGATCGGTCTAGATATTAGGCGATCCATAAAAAGTGCCTCATTGGTGGGTCGGGGTTCATGGGATAGTTGATGAAGTTCATGAGAAATCTGCACATAAGTTGATCCACTAAGAAAACCTAAGTGGTGAATAAAACAGATAATAAAATTTTCACTAGTGACCAAAACGCAACATTACATACAAATAAAACTATCAAAAATGAAGGCTTTACCCTTGAAAGTAAGGCGTAGCGTTATTGTTACATGAAACGCATTCATGTTGGGATTTTCACAAACAAACAAGAACACTTCACGCTGGTGTCCGAAACTGTTCTACCTAAATTTTCGCAGAATAATTAAAACCGACTTCTTTATCGAATCATAAGCAAATAAAAGTCGTTGACTAAACATGGGACCGCAGCCAGTTTTGTCAGCATGCCCGAAGGAAATTAGGGTTAGCTGATAATCCTATTGCAGCTGGGTCATCATGTGTAAGTCCACACTGTATTATTTCCAGACCGAAACGAAGAAGAATCTGAGAAAACATAATCCCTTGACATCAATTTGTGACCTGAGTGTAATTATTCAGTGGAACTTCGCATCACTATGGGACGATAATACAGTTTCTCGAACGGTTTGTAATGGTGCGAAGGCGGAAGATGATATACGGGATGGGGATTTTGGACGAATCAGAAAGCGAATCGAACTAGAGATACTCACATAGTGATTAATCTCTGCATCACACATATTCAGTACTTCATAAAGATATTTTCCGTGACATCTTTCTAACCGAGGATTCCAAAGCACGTAATATCGGTAGTCAGAAATGAAGGGCTTCGGAGATATATGCTGGAAATGGTTGATGTATAGAGGAGTACATGATTTAAGCTGACTAGCTACTATGAGGGGTGAGTAACAGCATATCTGATCATGATCTAGTGAGGTTTCTTGACTGAGCGCCTCTAGCTGAGGGGTGTTCAGCAAAACCAATGACCTCACCATCAATGTCAGATATTAACAGGACTATTTATTTAAGGGATTTGTCCACTGCTACATGTTTAAAACGCTTAGGAAATTAGCGCCAGGTTCTGAATTGGTTAGAAAAACTATTTACAAAATAGGTTTGTCGTGCCTATCTTCACGAAAGTACTAATAAGTTAAACACAAAATAGGAATATTGAAGAGCTCTGTCAAATCCTAAAGGGTTAAAAAACAGATCAACTGCACTCCAACGACCTTGTAAAAGAATAAAATGTAATTACATCCAATATTAAAACAACGGACAACAGTTATCCGTATTCAGACATTAACTCGAGCCGATATGGCAATAGAAGTTAAAAACTGATTACTGTGAGGTTCTAAGTGCATCAGAAACAAGTTAGCTAAACATGGCCTCGTCTAGAAATACTGTCCTCTCCACTGTCTTCTTAACCATGGACCTCATCAGATCTTAACGCACCTACAGCAGACTAGAAAAGTCTTAGAAATGGATTGTCAGAAAATTATTTTTGTCGAAAGCACGCTGATGTGGTTATCGTATGTGCCCCTGAGCATTATGTGAAATAAGCAACTAGATACGACCTGGACTACGAATCATCTTTAATAGATCTCGTATTGACCCATTATGAAAATGACGTCACAAGCTTCTATTATATGCTACCCTTAGGTAAGAGTGACCATGAAGTTCCACTCTTTAATATTTATATCTCTGTTAACAAAAATGTACCAGCTTAAATGAAACACGCTTGAAAAGCTAATATACAAGAAATCATGCACTCAGAATCCTCAAAGGAATAGACAACAAAACCAGAATCCCTCACTGAAACGGTTTAGGAGGTATTCAGAAATGTATGCATAAAAGTTATTGCACCTCACATCCCTCGGACTACACCAAGGAATGTGCGAAAGGTTTAACTGTGGTTCACTGAGGAAGTATAACGACTTAAATTGAATGGTTAACCATAACCATCAACTGTAAATGAGTATTCTAACTGCAATCAGTAGGTGTCCACTCTCAATGTCACTTTAGTGTCGCCCAAACATCGTCCATAAATTATAGCCTCACTCTCAAGTGTTCTGACTTTACTTTAATAATAATTATATATTTCTGCATGTGCAGGTACACACCGTTTTTACAGGCATGATCTATAAATTACAACATTTGTTGGTTCGCAAAATGCTTCCCAACTTATTAAGTTTATAGTTGTTATAAAGTGAGATCGTAGAGCGCTTGCTGTAAACTATGACCTTGGGAGGGTGCGTACGTCAAGTTTGCTCCAAACTTCAGAAGTTTCATAGTTGTGACTATATCTTTTGTTATCTTTTTTTTCTATCCGATACCAACCACACAATCCTAGTGTAAAAGTCCGAGTTAGCATGTTATAGGTTGTCTTAGTAGAATAGCTAATCCAGCATAATATTGGAAACATGAGTTTGAGTGGTGAGTGTAGGAAGACAATCTGTATCACAGATTGGTTGACTTATTCTCAATCATGAGGAGGCTGATACATATAAAATGTTCTGTCCCCACAAACACGGGTGGATTGAAGTTATCGCCCTCACCATCAATGCTTGCTGGTCAGTAACTCCACCCTCCCTCCTTTTGTGATGTTAGGCTCATTTAGGCTTATTTGTGGATATATGTCATACCTCACTCAATCCTCTGTTGGAAAAAACTATTTCTATAAGTACCATTTCACAGGCTTATCAGGCAGTTACAAGTTATGGACTGTGGATAAGGCATCGACGCAGTGCTTTAATTGATTACAGTATAAAGTATAGTTCGCCAATTAGAGTATAAGCATTTAAAATAATATAATGTAGGATAGTTATTTATCAAAGCAGGTGGAGAAGTATAGAACTTTATGAGTTGTAGATAAGGTAACGAGTGGAGAAATAATATTAATTGCTAGTCAACATAGTGTACAGAAGAGTAAAAAGTTAATACACGATAAACGGGTAGAAACTCACAGTAACTTGGTGCTGATGTTATTTTGTGTTGTCCTAACCAGTTGGTTGGTAACAGGCCCCATAGATGCAAGACCACTGGTAGTGGACAATCGATTGTGCGGTCCTCTTTACTTTCTGAGAGTGGTAGTGAGTGTCCCTTAGCGACCGAGCTTAGTTGAACAGTATCGATTGGTTCAGTGAGTTACTTGTCTACTTCAAGTGAAAAATTAGGGTGAAAAAAGTAATTAGTACAACTGCAAAGTAGGAAAAATAAGGCAAACTGAACTTGAAGTCCATTTTGGTTTAAACATGGAGAGAGCCTATGATGTCTGAGTGGGGCACAGACGTGTTCGTACGTGCAAGATCAGTGCAAGTGAGGGTTTGATCATGCAGTTTTACAAACGTATGTAATTCATCTGCCATGCGTATTTCGGAGGGAAGACTGTCCCATATTATTGCATACTTGATGATGAAGAAGTTTTCCCGAGTTTTTGATCTGTATTTCTCAACCTTGACCGTAGATACTTTGTTTCGAAGTTCGTATTCATGTGAATCTCTAGCAAGAACTATCTAATATGTTGAATAAGTAAGGTTTTTGAGTAGTTTGAAGTAGAGAATCAAATTAGATCTAAGCCTTCTCTCCCAAAGGGGTGCTATTCCTAAGACTTGGCATCGGGTACTGTAGTCAATGACTGAGTCAGTCTTAAGTACTTTGCGGGTGAAGTCTCGTTGTATTCCTTCCACCTTTACTATATCAGATAGGCGTAGGTTGGAAAATAAGAACGAGCAGTATTCAACGATGGGTCTTACACAAACTTTATAAAGAAGGATTTTAGAAAAGCGTATATCTCAGAGATACCCTTCCCATAGGTTTATATATGCCTTCCCATACTCACTCTGTACATTATGATCGTTGGAGAACTATGCATCTTCGGTTTTCTAAATAAGCTTGACATCGGTTACTCCATAGTACCTGACAAAATGCACCTTAGACTGTTAAAGGAACTAGCGCGCTTTATCGCGAACCCCTTGTGGATGTGTTTTAGTCTATTTGTAACCCAAGGCAGGTTACCAGAAGACTGGATGAACGTCAGTGTAAGTCCTATCTTAATTACAGGTACAAACACAAACCTGAGAAATATAAACCCGTAAGCCTAACTAGAGTGGCTGAAATAAACTTAGAAAAGATTATCTAAAAGTTGTTTGAGCATCTAGACGAAAATCGAATTCCTTCTGATAAGCATCATGGCTTTAGACACAGGTAATTCGCGCCTAGCAGGCGTACTAGTACCTTGTAAAAGTTGGTTCGCCCTCAAAGATCAAAAGTTAACTGTAGACGTAGCCTTCATTGACTTCTGTGAAGCGTTTGACAAATTTCCGCTCAATCGGCTGCTATCTAAGCTGAGGCCTATCGGGATTGGAGACAACTAATTTATGTGGACAAACGATTCCCTTATTGTATGCTAACTAAGAGTGCAGATTGACTTCAAGTTGCCTATCCGGGAAACTGTGCTTAGCGGAGTGCCATAGGGTACATTTTTGCTACCAGTGTTATTCTTCCTATATGCAAATGACAAATCTGGTCACTTATCATCACCGGTTTGGTCATTTGCTGATAATTTCAAGATATGGAGAGCGATAAAAATGATTATAGTTTGAAGCTTCGAAATTACCTACAGCTTTGTCTGATTGGTCTGGTATTCGGCAGTTACTGATAAATGCTTCCAAGTGCATTTGATACATACTGGTCATCAATGTACCGAAACATACATGATGAGTGACATTGAGCTACCTAGAAGTCATGAACAAAGAAAACTTGAGAAGTAATGCACAGTGCTATGAAATAGCTACCAATGGTTTTATAGTCCTATGGTCAATACATAGGGACTTTATCCACGTTGATGCCAAAACTTTTTCGACTTTACGTACAGCATTCGCTTGTCCTAAACTCGAGCACTGAATACAGTTGGCTGGTTCATGTTTAAGAAGTCAATCAGCTGTCGGAAAACGTTGAAAGAAACGCAAGTAAGCCTATTTCAACGCAGTGAAGCGTGGCCTAAAAGGATGTTATAACACTATTATGATCTTCAATCACGTGAATAATGACGGTAGCGTGAGTTTTGATTAACCCGGCGAATATATCCGTTTTACAAACGGTACAGAGAAACAACAGATATGGAATATAAATATGATTACACATAAAGCGCCACAGATAACGAAAAAAATTGCGGTTGTTATTTTGTTGTTACAAAATTCACTGGGTGTACATGTATATGACTGTCTAACATTAACACACCCACGGAAGGCAAATATTGGGGGGGGGGAATAGCGCGGGATTTGGCCAAAGTTCCGTTTGTTTCTTGAATTTCCAACCACTTTGATGCAGGTAATTTCTTATGAAGATCTAATTCTTCGATCCTGGCTACTGTTCAGCACTTTTGGTTTATAGTGGTATAGTGATGTGTTTGTGCTCTTGTAGATTGACAAGTTACTTGTGATACCAACTTCAGTTTTTGACTGGTATTTAGTATATACGTTAGTTGTGATGCTTCAGTAAATGTCACTGCATTTTAAGGTCCAAGGTTAATCATAGCTTTTTAGAACTGTTTCTTGATGACAGTGAACGCAGTTGTGTGGTCAAGATCTCAAATAGTTTCAGTCAAATTATTGTAGTAATGAGTTTTTACCCATATACTAAATGCACGTAAATTTTAATCATTTGCGCACGTATATATGCAAGTATCAATTTTCAAACAAAAGATTCGGTTCATATGTGTGTTCATTTAAAGGACGGTGCTTAAGGTTGCATCCAGTATGTTTTATAAAGCTAGTAAATAAAATAAAATGGAAAGACTGATTCTTTTGCGTAGATCTCATAGGTCAATACGTGAATCTGAAGTACTGTGTAATTGGATGTTCATAGCTGACATCGAATGTACTAATGCATTCTAATTGACTACTGAACTTCGGAATTCTAGCGCAACTAAAAGTTTACTCTTAAGATAAAAGGTATTTGATTTGTAGGTTATAATTAAGTTAATTATATCACATAGGCTTCTGTTAGTCATTTAACTTAAAGTTTGTTGGTTTTTGTCACGACAGGAAATTTGTATCTTCTGGGGACAGTCCGAACATAGTAAATATCAACTTTCATATGGCTAAGCAAAACTTGGGACTTCTAACCAAAACTTTTTTCTCTGTAGGTGAATATCAATCCTGACGTTAACTGCCTCACTTCAGTTTACGTACAAGACAACCTTGTTAGGGAGCCTGGTCGACTGAATTTAAGGTAGTTAGTACTGTCACTAAATTTTTATGTTCCATCTAAAGTGGATGAAAACGCGCATATGAATGAGTTAATACTTTAGTACGTTAATCGTTCCTGATGAAAAGCACAAATATAACCATAAATATTTGTCAAAATACCATTCCTGTTATTTGATTCCTTCATTAACTCAGTTACCATAGTGTTGTTAGGGTTATAGTCTATCGTATGATAAGGTATGTAAATAATTATTGGGGAAATATGGTGTGTATGGACTAGTCAATTGATACTTTGCTATCAGTCATGAGTGAGTCATGTTTAAGAACACGTTTGGACCACTAGTTTGTTATTTTGGCTGCTTTTTATGATGACCTTGTTTCCATTGTCTCCAGATGGACTTAATGCGTTTTGCCAGAGTAATAGTCTTATTACTGTGTCATAATTTCAATATTTTCAGATTTAGTCGTTCACAGAGAATGGAATTAAGTTTCTGAGTATTTCCAAAAAGCTACAAAAGTGCTCTAATCAGGTTAACAAGTTGGGATAGTCATGTAGTGATTAATTATTGCGCGATATCATTAAAATCGTCAAAGTGATTTTTTAAGACGCAGAAGAGAAAGTCTTTTTATTCCTGAAACGACATCTTTTATGTTGGTCATTTTCGCTTAACAAACTCCTTTGCAAACATAATCTAACTTATAACCGTACTTAATGTCGTTTCTATTGACATCTCATTTAAGTGCTTTAGTGAAACCTTTGATATGATCCATTATAATTCTCGAAAACGCTAAAACTTTCAATCAAAGATAATTGACCGTTGGTATGTGGTCGTTGGCCTCTCTTACCGTACTTGCATCAAGTTATATGAGTTAAAGGATTCTTAGGAGTCCCACCATAACAGAAAGTTCGATTGCAATGACATGTCCTAATATCTAAGCCGTATTGATTACTACTCGGTTTTAGCGACTGAGGCTCTACTTTGGTCAGTTAGAAGACAAATAACAACAAATTAGGGGCATTAATGTCAGTATCTTTTATTTTCTTACAGTTGTTAGCCATAGGACTACTTTTCCTCAATCACTTGATGTAATCACGGAGTCGCCGACTTCGGTCTCTTATCCTCTAATAAGTTCTGGGAAAAAACAGTATCAACAAATTTCACTCAGAAGACATGACTTACAGTAAGGTGTTTCCTTTGGACAATCAGTATATGCCACGATGCTTCCTTATCACCGCCTCCAGCGGTAAGGCCTTTTGTAGTGCAAAGCCGACACACCGAAAATTTTCCTTAAAAAGACCTTTGAGCGATCGACCTCAAGCAACTGTGCCCTGGGCTCTGCGGTCACGGTCCCAGGTCGCTAAGACCACCATCGATTCGAATTCTTCTTCAGGTCCCTTCCACGGTGTGAAAAATGGAATAGTGACAGCCGCCCTCATACCTCTGTCTGCACCCGAGATCATCTCGTTGACGATGGACTTCTTCCCTCACCTTGATATCCTTCTAACTTCATCTAAATAGTGTGTGAATTCCATGTGGCTCATACTTTAAGATTTAATTTCAATTCGTTGGCCTATTAAGTGCTGTTATACTTAGATTTTTGTAACTTAAAATGGTGTTATAGGGTTACCAGAATACAGTAGTTTGTAGTTGGTAAGTCACTCAACCTTCGGCATTCGTGTTGTAGGTCCAAACATCGTCTGCTTACACTGGTTTGAAAAGCTTGAGTAAAATCATTCCGTCTCACTCTAAAAGTTGTTGCTCAAAGTTGGGCGTACAAAACTGCTCTTAGTTACCAAGCTATATTAAATCAGGTTGAAAATTGCAGCAATCGAAGTGGGATGAAGTTCGGGCTTGAAATTTAATGAATGAAGGCTATTGAGTTGAAAATCTACTACTGGCATCCTGGCAACTCAGTAACACTTTGTTTAGGTATAGATGTTATCAAGTCATGTTGAGACTAAGTTAGTAATCACTTGTGTTCTGTTCTCTACAATCGACGTTGTGGTTTGCGGTTTACACACTTTCACCTATAACATTTTAGGTCCGAATTCATTTCTATTTACCCTAATACTATATTAGTAATAAAGCATGATTCTAGATTACGGTTATACTTTATGGTTTAAAGTATGCCTATGGATTTGGTGCTTTTGTTTATAGGCTGCAAACAACTTCAGTGTGTTTGATAAGCAACTTCTAATTCACCTAATAAGTATTTTTATTGGAAGTGGAAGCAAAATATGCTTTTTTGTGTATATTAATGGGACCAAAATTTTGTCCTTATTTTTAGCCACGACATTTGGACAAGTCAGACGAATCATCTAACTTGTCGGACGATGATTATGTTCCTTATATACCAGTGAAGCAACGTAAACAACAGGAGGTAATGTGCTTCATCTTTCATTCGGTGTTATATTTGATAATAATCCTCAGTTTTAAGTGTTTGAGGAGACTACGAAAAGCTGAATATTCTTATGTTTGGATTACCATAGAAAGTAGTTGGTTTTTAAACAATATAAATAAGTGTTTCACTGATTAGATTTGTGTGAGGGCTTGAATACTGCCCGGGTACCCAGATCGAAGGAGTTGATTTTCTTAGGGGGCCACACTCAGAGCCTTCGACTTAAAGGCTTAATCCACAAGGCAGTGAAGCAACGTAAGGAGATGTAATCCCATGGTAGCTGGTGACCAACAGTTATTTATACGCCATTTGTTCCTTTAAGATCCTGGAGCCCATTTACACCATTGATTTGGAACCAAGGTTTCCCAACTTCCCTAGATGAGTCCTCCATATCCACCATCCCGGTTAAAGCGCCAGGCATCCGCTTTCTGTCGTTTCATTTTCGTGAACAACAGTAAGTAGGACTTCCCTGGCAAAATGCCAAATAGTTGATATGCATTTGATCGTAATGTGAATCCTGAAAAGAAGTTAGTGTATCAGTCGCTAACTCGACTGGTTATGTAAACATCAGATGGAACGAGTTATTACTAATATCTTAGGGTTGATGCTCAACTTCGGACTACCTCTCGGAAGTTGTTCTGCTTATTTTGTCTACGTCATAGTCACCTACTAAGCTTGGACCGTATTTGTGAAAGTTAGTGTGGGCTTTTTCTGTTAAAATGAAAAGTAAAACTGTCTAATATCAGATTCGGTATACAACTTCAAAATATGTTAGTTCTTGTTTCTATGGTTGATATCAAGTGTTCGTTTTGACTATATTTCTTACTGTAATATCATATCAGTCTATTTGACAAAGGGATCATCATGAATTAGTTTTTGTCGCAATAATTAGCTATCGGTTCATTCAATGTGATTTGAGATACAGTTAACATAAGCTTCTCAACCCGAGATAAGTGGGATGAAGTTCATTCCTCACCTGTTAAAAATGTACTTCTAGTGGTATCGGGTGGATAAACAATAAGCTGAAATCCAAACAAAATTGTTTGTTATTAAATATTTGTTGAGTGAATGTTCGGTCATTTAAATACATACATCAGTTCAATCCAATATCAGATAATTTTGTTTGACTGCTTCTGTTTAGAAGTTTTACAGGTGACCAAAAGGCCGTTTCAAGCCCAAATAGTTACCATTTATAATAATTATTATTGTAATGGCAAAAATAATAGTTGTTATACTCGCACTATTTAATACCATATCTTGATTATAGTGAATTCTCAGCACGAAGTTCGCGGGATTTCACAGATATTCCCGTTTTATGATCATTTAACTCGTAAATATTAAAAAAACTAACTGGCATTCATAGTCATAAATATTTATGATCAGGCTTGTACTCATGATATCTCATCACCAGATCGGTTTTTTATGTGAATCTTGCAGTAAGCACTCTCGTTTCTCCAAAAAAACCAGGAAGGGAATATACGAACTACTATTATGGTGCTCCTTGAGTTTGTCAGTGACTAGATTCGTGATAGGTTATGAACGTTTCATGAAAGCACGTGGGTACATGCGGTTAACTGACATAGTGAGTTTAAGAAATCCCAAAACAGGAAAATTTATAACAATAAACACATGTTTAGGAAAATATTGAGTCTAAAGTCTGAACAGACTGCCGCTTCGGTCACTTTTTCAGTTTTATGATACTTGGTTTGGTAGTGCCCAAATAAGATTTGATCTCTTTACCCTTTCGAAAATTATTGAGGAACTTGGGTAACCCATCAACTGATTACGAATTATTGTTTTGGTTTTGAATCACTTTTATCGTACCAGAACTAGGAAGATATTGCTGACTTGTTCAAATCGATGAAAATAAAATATGGTTTAAACACCTACAACTCTGTCAAAACTACTGATCCATATATGCACTGTTGGACGTTTTTAGGTCCAGCCAGTATATTCATTAAAATGAGGCTCGTGTTGCATATAAACTAGACGAGCTCAGCGGTTTAAGGACTGATGGGTTTGAATTTCAAGCATTCGATCTCAGGTTCGAGTCTCATTTCACCCATTTAAATCCAAAACAACTGGGTAATATCATCACCCTTTGCATAAAATAGTGTTCTCCAGAGTTTGATCACTAAGTTATCAAAACGAACTGTTTGCTTATACCAGACGTATAAACGTAATTTTGTGTTAGTAATAAAGTTTCTGTACCACTAGTTTCATTAGTCATAAGTATTCGATTTCTCCCACTTCAGCTTACTTCACTGCAGCGTGTATTAGGTAATCTTGCGTACACTGAAGTGCCTGAGGAGGAACTAGACCAGGGTAATACAGCAGAACAAGTTGAAGATGATCCGGAGGGTATGACAAAAAAGTCATCTGATGACAAACATCATGGACCTAATGCCCAGGGTAGTTTATTTGATAGAATGTGGGAATTAAAGCGAAAAGCTGAAGGTATACTCGTCTGGAGTTTTTTGTTGACATAATTTAGAAAGGAAGGAAACAGAACGGGATAAAAAATTAAAGGAAGAAGCTAAGATTTTAGAAAGTGTTGCTGAAAAGACCGCTTTAAAAGGTGTTGCAGAACTAGCAAAAGGTATCCAGTATGATAAACCAATTCAAACCAGGTACAGTAGTAAAACAATAATAATTTTTATTTTAGCTGGGTACCACCTGTATATATCCGGGAACAAAGTGAAGAGAAATCTGCAGAAATCCGCAAAAAGTTTCGAATTTTAACTGAAGGTGATGATGTACCTGCTCCTATTCGACATTTTAGTGAAATGTGTTTTCCAAAGGCTTTAATTGATTTACTAAAACTACGTGGAATAACAAAACCTACACCGATTCAAATGCAAGGTTTACCAGCTGTATTAAGTGGTCGAGATATGATTGGAATTGCATTCACCGGCTCCGGAAAAACAATGGTGTTCTCAATACCAGTTATATTATTTTCTATGGATCAAGAACAGAAAATTCCATTTATTCAAAATGAAGGACCTTATGGTTTAGTTTTAGGTCCATCTGTAAGTTAGATTAATTTCTGTTTGATATCATTTTTTATTTTATTATATGGTTATGAGTTTTCAATTAGGTAGTTTTTATCTATCATTTTGTTTGTCACTAACTTTTTCTTTTAGACATAGGTAATAATAGGGACCTAGATTTCGAATGTTTCTTTAGCAAACATATGCGCTATAATATATTAGTCTACCTCGTTAATTTGCTATTTACATAATCGTGCAGTGTTATGCGTTTGTGCATTATTTCGACTTTTTATTTCTTTGAGCAAGAATATCGATCGGATGTCTAGGATGATAATCTTCTTAAATCAGAAACAAAGGTATACAACTCATACATTTATATTGCGCAGTTCATCTCAATGAGTATTTTCAATCATGTGTCTTTCGTTCTACAGATGATATCATGATCATCTAAGTTTGATCATTATCCTTCAACGTGGAATTCCATTAGGGCTTTTCACATAGCTAATTTGTGATGAGACATTATGTGACGAACAGTAGCTCGTGTTTGAAAATTTATCTAAATTATTTTCTAATGTGCGTTAAATCCATGATGCTTTCTGTCATCCGCCGTAGTGGATTTGCGGGTTTTATTGTTTATTGTTAATTCATTGGAGGTTGTCAGTAAGTAACTACGAGTCCAGAGAGGGATTGGTCTTCAGTCAGATAACTCAACAACACCTCTAACAGTAGTACTAAAGACTTGGTTTGACAGTGGTTAGTTTCATATTGCTTGAGCACGTTTCACATACAAATTAATATTGTAGTGTTAAACAAAATCGTAAAAAATCCCATGCGCTCTTTGATGACTATCTTCTAAAGACTTCCTAAACTTCCAAAGAGTTAATAAAAATAACGTAGGGACTATTACAGATGTACATCAGTTCAATTCGCCACATATCAACACATTTAAATGAAATCAGCGAGCTGCTTAGCAAACGGAGTCGAAGTGATAATGTCTGTGATCGTAAAGAATACGATTTGAAAAGAAGAAACGGATTATCCGGATAAAAATTAAACAAGACTGTATGGTTACTAGCTCAACTGATTTATTATGTGTGTAGGGGATGCCTTTTATTTAAAGGAGGTTTGTAATAAATCGAAAAGGAATTCCGAACATTGGTTTTGTGCTATTTAGTAGTTATCAGGAAGGTAAAAGGTTCCCTAAGAAAACCACCTGCTTCGGCCTAGGCACCTGGGCAGTATCACAGCCCACACAAAAAAAGTGGTGAACTGTCTATTTATGGAAAATATTCTTCTTGCTCCGAATAACAATCAAATGACTCACATTATTACTATTATTGTTATTGTTATTATTATTATTTATTGTCTACTAAAATTGTGTTAAATAGTTCTTTATTTTTTGTAATAAATCTCCAATGAATTATTAGTGAGTGATCTTTGTAAGTAATAAATAATACTATTTCTTCTATACTAGCGTGAATTAGCTCGACAAACACATGAAGTAATCTGTAGCCTTATTAATGGTTTAGTCAAAGCTGGTTTCCCGTCTATTCGTTGTTGCTTATGTATTGGTGGCATGGCTGTTAAAGAACAAGCAGATATTGTTAAAAGATCTGGTGTTCATATTTTGGTTGCTACACCAGGTCGTTTAATAGATTTACTTCAACGTAAAATGATTAATTTGGAAGTATGTCGTTATCTTGTTTTGGATGAAGCTGACAGAATGATTGATATGGGTTTTGAAGAAGAAGTCCGAACTATATTCTCCTATTTTAAGGTAAGAAATTAAATTTTTTCATTCATCAATATATATATATATATATATATATATATATATATATATATATATATATATAATTATTGCATAGACATTATGTAGATTGAAATTAGCTGAATCAAGAGTATATTAGTTACGTTCCACAACATCCAATTAAGATATACACGCTTTTTGTGAGCTTGCCAACTAGTGGTGTGAACGAGAAAACTGGAAAACAACTAGAAATCTTTTATGTGTATACATTTGTCTGCTTGACCTGGATAAGGCCATGTAGGTTCATTAAGTGGATAATCGACTTATTTCAACAGCTTTTTTTATTGAAGAAATAAATTAAATTAAATTTTTAGCATCTACGTAAACTTTTTGCACAATAATATTTTACTGATTGAAATACAATGTAACAATTAACTAATTGTTTTGTACTCATATTATATTGAATGCCATTATTCAGGGACAACGTCAAACACTTTTGTTCTCTGCTACTATGCCGAAAAAAATACAAAATTTCGCTAAATCAGCCTTGGTGAAACCCGTCACTGTTAATGTTGGTCGAGCTGGAGCAGCTAGTATGAATGTCACTCAGGAAGTAGAATATGTGAAACATGAAGCGAAAATTCCTCATTTACTTGATGCTTTACAAAAAACTCCACCTCCTGTAAGCTTTCTCCTCTTATTTTGATATATATATTACTGGTTAGCATTTCTAAGTGTTACCTTATTTATCAAAGAGGTTTATTTTTTAAATTACATTTGTTAAAATTCTGTATAAGTACTCCACTAAAGCAAAGGCGATAAACTCAAATTTATACAAAAATAAGGTAAAGAATAAGCAAACATATTTTGTCAACTTCTAAGGCACATTTTTAAGTGTTTATATCAGCATTTTTGTACTGTCGCCACTGCAATCTGATCCCCGTCCTCGTTTTGATATATAATATAAATCTTTGTAACTTTTCAAACCACGGTGGTCTGTTCACTTTATTCTGAATCGCTTTTTTGTTCTTATTTATGTGTGTACAAACATTTACCTATCTTGTTTAAAATTTGTCTTTAAAAATATTCTATTCGTAACTAAAATAAAATAACAGACCCTATCCAGCTGTCAAAGATAAGTAAGTACTGGTTGTTACGCTTCATCTATTGTTAGTTCAAAATTACACTAGGGATTTTTATAACTAAGATAACAAAAAGTATATTCAGTCTTAATATCTAATAAATGAACATTTGTTGTTAAGCATAGTTGTTACGCATATGAATGTACAATGTGAATTCCTTTCTCATAATTTGTCAGTTGTTTACAGTGTACAACTTGAGTATTTATTTGTCTCACTGTAATGGAGCATATAATTTAAAATTACAGCTGAATCGCCACTGGTTTTTTATTTTGAGCTATGTCTGGTAGAGTACCTGAAGTCATTGAGTTGGATGAATTTTAAAATCACAACCAGGTAGTCGTGATAATCTGACAGATAGCAATCTATTATAGTTATCTTCTGTACCATGGTGCCATGTCATGCACAAACTCAACCCATCTCCATTTTTACTATTCATTTCGAGAGTCGTTAAATAGTATGCCATATGGAAGCCAATAAAACCTAAAGGTCTTGGGTATAACTCACAAAGAGTTTGACTATGCATATAATATGTCCAAATGTTCTTGGATAAGATGTATCTCAACTTTCTAGAAGTTAGTTACTTCCATTAGTTCATAAAGTTATAAAAATTTTCTAATTTCATCAAAATTTTGATTTATTTATAAAAAATTTGTTTGTTTTGGTTATTTAGTTTTCAGTATAATTCATAATTTTTCATGCTTTAATTCGCTTGCTTTTAATTGGGGAGCTTGGCTAACATTGTTTTCAATGAACTAGGAGCTCATCCAATAACATATTGATTGATATCATTAGTGAATGAAATATTCTTACTTAATGTTTACAATTCATTGCTAGTTTTTGATACAAAAATATATTTCTATATTTTATTTCAGTTTTAAAATTTTATCAAGTAATTTTTTAAAATTTAAAACAGGTTATTATATTTGCTGAGCGTAAACAAGATGTGGATGCTATACATGAATATCTTCTTTTGAAAGGTGTTGAAGCAGTTAGTATTCATGGTGGAAAAGATCAAGATGAACGTGTATCAGCTGTTACAGAGTTTAGAGCTCATCATCGTGATGTCTTAGTTGCTACAGATGTGGCTAGTAAAGGTTTGGATTTTCCAGAAATTAATCACGTGATCAACTATGATATGCCTGAAGATATTGAAAATTATGGTTAGTTTAATATTGATAATAATTTGATGAAATTACTTTCTAAGTAAAAGTTGAACTTAGTAGGTCATTGGGTAATACGCTGGGCATTTGAAGTGAAAGGTTACTGGATCCGAGTCTTGGAATAAATATCGACTCTAGGATGTGTTGATATCGAACAAGACGATAAGTTAAAGGATTGTTTGTTGAGGGAAATTACAAAGCGTTTATATAATACATATGCATAGCCTTCGATCATACATTTGCATCTTGCGGTGTGCTCTGCAATCTAGTTAGTTCTAAACTGTCTTCTCGTATGGTTATCAATTGTCCTGCTTATGCTGTGCTTTTGATGTACCGAAACTGTTTTTCGTCTTACGGCTGTGACAACTTCGGCTCCACGTTTCGGCTCATGCTATTCATAAGCAGTTTTGTCCACCACAATTGTAAGTACCTCTATCTGACGAGTTCCAACTATGACAGAAAACACATCCTGAATTCCTCTACTGATCAATGTCCTTCTTTACCTAAGATACTTATGACTCAATAGTAATATTGAGGCAATCTGCTCAGGAAACACATGTCCCAGAAGAGACTGATCAAAATTCAATCCCTAACATCAACAGCGGGAAGATTCAAAAGTTTATAAACAAAATAACTACCATAGATAAACTCTTTATATGAAGTTAACAGTAATTATTACTAACATGTTTATTCATAATTAAATACTTGGTTTTCCTTAGACAAAGTTATGCAGCATGCATAATGTAAATACAATTGGACACTGTCGTTGTTTATACTAGGAATTTATATTTTGTAAATACTAACAAGATATTCACTTGAGTGATTTATTTACAACATGTTTGTTACAATGCTTACTTTTTGAAGTGATGAAAATATTAGGGATATGAAAGAAATTCCTCATATGCACCAAGACACGCAATAAACCATTTATAATAATCATCTGCTTTCGCAGCATCATAAATCCATTATGTCAAGTAACTGACCACTCTTAATCTTCTTTCTATTCATTATTTCTTCCTTCCCTATTGAGTCTTTAACGTTAAAGTTGACATTGAATGCTGATAAGTCATGATGTTTTGATCATTGATAAATTTTTTGCTTCTGAAATATAGGTGCGATATAGTGTGGTGAGTAGTGGTGGCTTAATGGCTAAAGCAATTGACATTCAGTTACTGGCTTTTCAGTTCAAACCCTTGTCAACCTACTTCTCTATTGTCGGCCTAGTAGTATTGCTTACTGTAAATAAAAGTAATTTGTCTAAAAGCCAAGTACATGAAACTGAACTCGGAAACAGAGTTGGAATTTCTTATTAAAATCTAGATTTATGACTATCTAATCCTTCACATTTTATATGGCTCATTACTAATTAACAGTTGGTATGATGCCTATTAGGAGGATACCATAACTTGTTTTACAGCTAAGTAAATGATTTGTCTACTGGTATCTCAGTTCTTACTCCCTAGTCATCAATAATTCACTGAACAGATCAGTGGAAGTTACATGTTTCTTCGATATTTTTTTATTCATGATATATTTGCTCATGGTTATAAAAGCAGGTTGGTTAATGAAAATACGTATATCATGAAGTCTAATTTTCTTGGCAATTTCAAAAATTTATAATAATTGTACGTAGTACTAGAAACTAGTGTCAGTCTTAAAAGTATAATTAGTCGACTAATTTTTGTGTTGTTTTCTCTTGTTCATTTTAGTACATCGCATCGGTCGTACTGGTCGTGGTCATCAACGTGGGTTAGCCACAACATTTATCAACAAATCAGTGGATGAATCCACTTTATTAGATTTAAAGCATTTACTCATAGAGGCTAATCAACCTGTGCCAGAATTTCTTGTTGAATTGGCATCAGCTACTGAAGTTGAACTTGAAATGGGTGGTGAAGTTGGCTGTGCATATTGTGGTGGTTTAGGTCATCGTATAACACATTGTCCAAAATTAGAAGCAATGCAGAATAAAGCTGCTATTAATCTGGGTCGTAAAGATTTCTTGTCTTCTGCAGATTATTAACAAATTATCATTATTATCATTATCATCTGATAAGCTGAATACAGCCAAACATTTGATAGTTACTGTAAATAATTCATAAATTTAATTTGTAAATAAAATCTTCAATTGACGTTCATGCTTTTTCTTTTTCCTTGTCTTGGTTCAAAAGCTTAAATTTCAAGTTTGTTTTTCTTCAAAATCATGAAAGAAATTGTCTCAAGTTTAATATACTGTTATATTACTGCATATACTATATTTAATCATATCTAAATACTGTGATTCACGAATGAAAGTTCATTTTTGGTCTGTAAATTGTCAGAATAGTTTCTTTGTAAATATTTTCTCGGTTCACATTTAGTTGTACTGTATACACATGTTTTTTACTACTTAGAAACCAATAGTTCTAAAATAAATCGAATGAACTTCGATCTGAGAAGATGGGATTTACTGATTTAGTCACCATACTTTACTGAATTCTTTACTTTCTCTTGGCAAGTAAGTTCTTCATTAATTTATTCGAAATGTATTACAGGTTAATATAATCTCTCAGATTAACTCCATCTATTCACTACACTTTCGATGCTAAATTCTTAGATATTGTGAAAATCGGTATTTGTAACAATTACATACTTCTAATTATCAAACTTTCCGTTATAAAGAAACCTGTAGATTTGTTTGCTACAAAAATAGGATCGTGTATAGTTCACAACTTTTGCTCAATTCTATCCTCCGTCCCATTAGTTTCAAAAGTTAAAAGAGTAAATATACTTTATTTCTCTGTTCATTTCAGCCAGTGTATAGAGTTCACTTTCACATATCTTCCTAATAATTTTCCGATATATATGTGTGTGTTTCCCAATCACTGAATACACATATTTCTCCTCCAGAGAATAACTTATTAGTCATTCGTTTAGGTTGATGAGGTTGATTTTATATCTATAATAATTATTACTCGCAAATTCTTTCAGTCCTTGGTAATTTAGGAGTAATGATATTGATGTATTGTATATAATCCCCTGAATACAGTATCACTACTTATTCTGATCAAGAAACTTTTTCTTGAAAAGTAATAGTATAAATCGTTTGGACCTAAATTGGAAGTATTAATTAATATAATTCTTATATTGGAAATCAATAACTAAATAATTCAGTTGCTTGATGTTGTTTCCGTATAAATGTCTGGCCAAAGCTCATCAATTATAAATAAATAATAGTTTGTTTTATCCTCAGAAAATGCTTTTATACATTTGATAGAGATGTAATCTGTATTAAAAACGGGATAGGACGTATTATTTCATTTATATCATTGTATTACTGAAAAGTTAGCCATGTATTATGTTATCATCTAATGAATTATAAATTCTGCATTGAGTCCCAGTTTCAATCCTGAAACTTAACTTTGAAACTGGATGAACTGTACAACTAAATAATTTGTGAAAATTTGATAAATTAGAAAACACATTGTTTTCCACACGTCGAGCAAGCTGATAACCAGAGGGAAATGGTAGGTTGCCTGAATCTTAATGTCCATTAGCTTTACTTGGATAATCGTAAATTGTGTGGCTAGTTAGAATTAATAATAAATGGTTACTGATGATACTAATAGGTCGAGATTAGTAAGTTTATTTTGAAAGGGGTGATGTGTACACTGAACAAGAACATTTCGTTTCTTTACAGTTTACAGAACTTTTTGGATGACTATATGTAAATAGTTCCGGTTTTCTGTTTGTTTATTTTTTAAAATTAAAGCCAATTCATAATGCAAAAATGTATTAATGTTACTACCATAATAATATAATAATAATAGTAATTACAATAACAATAGTTCATTAAAAATCCTTATTGCTTAGCTTTACTTTTAACAAAAATATTACTGACAATAAGATTGTTTTGGGAGTAGCAGTTAAAATCAAGGTGGAATGAAGCATGGTTCACCAATATCATGTATATCTATCTACTTAGAAATAAAAATTGTGTACTGTTATGGAGAACTGTAAACAGAACCGAGTACCATAGTTTTCTCCCAGTGTATTATGTTTTATTTTGAACTCGTGTTAGATATCTTGTTATAGTGATCCTTTTTGAGAAATACACAGCCAAAATAAGTAGTATTAGCAGTAGTAGTAAGCAAATAACCAGAAGAATTATTGAAATCGGATGTACTGTATTGGAGGAAAAAGCATAGAGCAATTTGAAAGAAGATAACATAGGGTATTTTGTAATAATAATAATAATGATTGGTATCAAATGTGCTATATTTTAAATTTCATAAATGTATCAAGATTTATTTGATGATATTTTTGATATGCGTTTTTAATGCAATCGCCCAATGAAATAGAAAATGGAAGGAACTTGTGATTTCTTTGTTTAGTTTTACTCAACCACTTGGGTTCAATTCCCGTTAGTTCGATGAATGGGGACGATATGAATCATGACGAGATAAAACTCCAGTCTTATGCCTCCTGTTTTTTATTTGTTTTGATATGTTTCGTGAAAGTAAGTTGTGATTGATTACTTAGCGAAGGTACATACCCACTCTGTACTTAGTAATATATTTATCTGTATTTTAACTTTGATCTCTATTCTGAGTTGCACTTAATGTTGGCTGCCTGCATTCAAGTTAATAAAACTTGGCCGGAATAGTGTATCATGTGGCATAACCTAGTGACGTAATAATATGGTGTTTGACTAAGTATCGTAATCTAGTTTGTCCAGTTTGTTATTCAGTGTCGTGTTACTGCATTATCACCAGCTAGTAAGTTTCATTTGTATGTTAACTGTTTAGTGGAGCTTAGTAATTAACACATTTCCGGTTTCAAAAGGTTTCATTTGGCCAATATTTAAAAACCATTAACTAGTGGGCATATAATTTAGTATATTCAAGGATTACACTTTTATATGATATTATAGCTGCACTTAGGGTTGAGCTCAGATATCCTTTCGTTTTTATAAAAAGCTCGTTAGTAACTTACATGTACAATACTCTGAACGACTATATCCTCCTACTTTTTTCCATCCAAATCTGCATGCACAACTGATTCCATTCATCGTATTTACGCAATATGAATACGATGGGCAAATCGATTGACAATCCTCACATGTTCTTCTCACTGTATTAGCTGGAATGCGAATGGTAAAGAATTAGTCAGATGCATATGCATTGCTTAGGAATAACCAAAAAAGAAATACACTATGTTTGATAGTGATTCCAAAGTTTAGTATAGTGACCTAAATCATATTATTCTTCAGAAAATATAAATTGAGTGAAATAATCATAATATTTTGTATTCCTATCAATTTCACTAACAACAGGCCTACTGTTACTGTATTCCACATAAGATCAAATTTGTAGAGGCTAATTTCCTCTATATCTGACTCCAATAAATTGTATCCCGTTAACTGAATATTTAATGCAGGCTATATCTCCTAGTAGAATTATGGATTTACTCGAGATTATTCAAACGCCCGAACATCAGTTATAGAGATAGTTTATTATACACATAGTTCCCTTTATCATTTTGAAAAGAGAAAGAACAAACATTCTAGCAGAATAGCATGAATTCATTTTTATTTCGTTGGTTCTCGTCAGCTTCTTACAACCTGTGATATTTAAAATCAATTAATGGGTTTAAATTACTTACATGAAAGAGTTTGACTGGAAGTTATATTGAAGACATATTCGTATAGTATAGTATAGCAAGGGTGTAAATAAATTTAATAGATTGAATATTGTAAATATATACCTTATGTGATGAAAGAACATTGTGACAACAGTTCAAACGGCTAGTTTATTATTAAAAATTGGTAAAATCCGTGAGCACACAGGGAAACCAAGAGTGTGTGTGCCTATATAAGTGTTAAAAATCCATATGTATTTATGAGCCATAATCAAGTGTGGATAAATTATTGGATGTCTATGTATTGCAACCGATGGGAGAATAGATTAAAGTTGATGTGCAGACATGTGCTCAATCAGACTCACACAGAAATTTACATAGTGGATTAAGTGTCTAAATTACAGTGAGCAGATAAATAGTACAGTAGTGGAATGGGCTTAATACAAAATAAATACGTAAGTTTGCATGTTTCCAAAACAACCAATTAAAACACTAGAAAGCCAAATACCATGGTTGAATGAACTATTTTGCTGATTTGAATATTTAAATGAAATACGAGAGCAGAGTGCATTAATGATTCAAACACATAATTCGGACGTTCTTGATATAAAGCTAAATAGCAGATTTCTGATTAATGGACCACGGTTTATGGAATTCAAATCATAAAGTTATTTCTAATTATTCTTACATAGCGTATTAACGCTACAGTAATAATGGTATGTTTATGTGGGTTCATATAGAGGCGGATAACTCATCTATTGAAAGATTTTGTGAAAATATTTAAAATCAACTAACTTTATCTCTACAGAAGAAAAATGTTGTTACATTTATTTACATCAAAATGTTTCATTAAATGGCGAAGTTCTTTTCAGTTTCTCATTATTACACAATTAATTCTTATTAATAAGTTGTTTGAAGTACTATTCAACGATTAATGTGTTACATTTTGTTATGCTTTATTTGATTAGTTAGTTAGTATTGTGGTGAACGAGAACACAAGTGGGGACAATCGAATGTATTTGAATATAAAATTACAGAACATCTTAGTAAAATCTGAGAACCATACAGTATATAATTGATTTGCAAAATGTCAATCAGTCGTCTCAGACTTCATAATAATTTTTTATTTCCCAACTAATCATTCTCTGTTCTCGTTCTCTTTCCTTTAATCTTCTTGACCTTCTGCCACCAGACATTTCACTTTTGATTAATGATACATACTACTTATATCTGTCGACATCAGTAGCACAACAAAGTATGTTCCCTGATTTGCATCGATTCTTCAACTGATTACTATCAAAAGTAAGAATTATTTTCAAGCTGTACAAATCCCTACAAACTGTTAGTTTGTGTTAATTGACTGAAGAGAATGAGCAACAAAAAAAAACAATTGATTCCTTATAAAAACCTATAGCATTTATTTTTTCCACTAATATTTTGTATGTATGTTATTTTATTGAAAGAAAACTTGTTCCACTGGGGAACGATATTATTTTCTATTATCAGTTCATTCGAGGGCTTAAATTAATAATTCAGTCTTGTGAGCAGCAATTGTTCGGCCACAGTACATCTCATAGTATATCATCTATTGACCAGTATTGTTTTCTTTCATTTTAACAATCGGAAATTTGCTCAAAAAAATTCAACTCTATAAAATAAATCAATTAAAATAGATAAAATAAATTATATTTTGGTAAACTAATGAACATTCAGTTAAATAATAACTTACAAATGATTTTAATATGAACTTTACTGAAGTTTTTTCCATTAATATGAAATTTGTTGTTTTGTTTCAATGTTCCAAGTAAAGTTCCATCAGATAGTTGTGTTGCTTTAATTGAATCATAAACTATATCGGTCACAGCAAACAT